ATTTTCCATAAAATTGACATTTTTATTTTTAAGAAGGTAGAATCAAAGGCATTATATAATTCAGATTTTCTTTTCTTTTGGAAAACCATTTCACAAGTAGTTGTGTGTTCTATCTTAAGGCACATAATGTTCACTTTTCTCACTTTTTGCAATGTTAGAAGCCGCTAATTATCAATGCCTAGATCCATTGATTCCTTAGGGGTTACTTCATAGCTTCGTATCTGGGATATCTTTATAAAGAGATAGTTTCCTGCTATTTTACTAAAACAACAACAGCAAAGAGACTGTGGCACTTCATATTTTAAGAGAAGTAACTATTCAGGTAAAACAGGAAAACCAGTTTTGATACATACTAACTAGTACCAGTAATTAAAGGGAAAAAATGGAGACTTTCTTATTTAGGGACACTAAATGGGATAACTCCAGAACATTTACCCCAGTTGTCCCAAGTCAATAGAAATCTTCTGCCAGTGACAAAGAAAATGGGATGCCAGTAGAGTAAATCAGATCTCTTTTTCTTGAAAGTGCCCTCCACATAGCAAAGAAAAGTCTGTCCAGCAGGTAGATAGGTTGATCCATTTTAACGCTTCCCAGAGTTCTGAAATGAGGACAAACATATTCTCATTTCTGGGCACTCTTTGGGTATTTTCATATTTTTTTTTGTAATGATGTAAGTAACTGTCATACAAGGTAAAAGTGGGATCAGAGATCTTTACGGAAATGCTGTGATCACACACAGAAAATAAACATGACTATAGAAAAGGAGGAACATAATTGAGGGGAAGACTCAATCATTGATTCAACAGCTATGTATTGAATGCCTGCCTATTCTGTACCTTGGCATTGTCTCATAGTAGACTTAGTTAAATCTGTTTTCAAATTCTGCATCAAACCCCTCACTGTGTGGCCTTAGGCAAGTTACCAAACCTCTGTGCCCCAATTTTTCCATTAGCAAACTGTAAATACTGATATGATATCCATCTCAGAGTTTTTGAAGTTAAATAAAGACCATATAAAATACCTAACAGCATTACACGGAAGCTACCCCCATTGCATCACTTTTCTGCATGAAGATGGAGAAAAGGACAGAGAAGAAAGGTGGGTAGATCATATGATCATATGATTTTTTTTCTTTTAGTCTATTGATATGGTGGATTACATTAATTGGTTTTCAAATGTGGAATTATGTTTGCACACCTGGAATAAATCTCACTTGGTCATAGTAAAAAAAAAAAAAATGATTGGAAAGGGTTATTGCAAGGAATGGGAAAATAACTAAACAGACTAAAGAAAAATAATTGTCCAGAGGCTCTGAAGGCCCAGCTACAGTTACCCCCTACCCTGAGGCCACAAATAGATTTTGTTTGTTTGCTTTCAGATATTTGACCAGAGAGGTGAAAAATGGAGGCTTTCTCACCTCAGTTCAATTTATATGGTTAGATAGCTTTGTCAAATGGAAGGGGCTAGAGCAGTGAGTTGGAATTTCTTAATTGACCCAAAGTTATCCTATTCGTGTTTTTTTAAATGTTTATTTATTTTTGAGAGAGAGAGAGAGAGAGAGTAAGTGTGCGAGCAGGGGAGGGGCAGAGAGATGAGGGACAGAGGATTTGAAGCAGGCTCTGTGCTGACAGCAGAGAGCCCAATGCAGGGCTCTAACTCACAAAACCGTGAGATGTGACCTGAGCCAGAGTCAGATGCTTAACCGCCTAAGCCACTCATTCATGTTCCATGGACAGAGTGAAGGGGGATAGACGGAGGGTAAGGCAGATAAGGAGAATCAGTTTAAATGTGAGATTCACCACTGAGAAACAGAATGATAACTTTTCTCCAATGGGAGATGAATTATTGAATTTGAGAACAATATCTCTGGGAGAAAAACCCCCTCCACTCCCACCCATACCCTACCTTTATTATTTGGCTTTTGTAAGCATGCCTACAATATAGGATTATAAATTCGGTTTATATCTCCCTTATCCCAGTCTCCCTTTATTACACTGCTTTACTGCTTCTTTGGGGCTGAGACTCCAAAATTCGGGTCAAATGTTCCATTAAGTTAACCACTTTAGAATCCCAGTAACATTCCCACAGCACTTTCACCTTCATAGTAGTTCACAAACATCTCCTTCTCTACTAATGAAGATGAGTTGAGTATCTATAGTATCTAAAACCAAAGCTATTTAATCATTGTCTGATGTGAAAAAGTAAGACAAAATGCAAGACCAACAACAAAAAAAGTATATTACATTTTAAATTTGCTGAATCGAGCTTTTTAAAAATTCCTTGAACGTGCAAGCAGAACTCATGCCACAAAATCCCAGCTTTTGTAATAAACAGTCAAAAAAGAATAGAAGCAACATCTTAGGGCTGGTTTTAGCCCTTCCTATCTTTCAGGGTGCTTTTAAATACATTATTCCATTTGATCTTCATGAAAACCACTGAGGAAAAAAAGGAATTCTTATCCCCACATTTCAGACAAGGGTTTTTTTGTGTGTGTGATTAATTAACTTGTTTGAATTTTGAGTTACTAAATATTTGTGCTGAGACTAGAAGCCCATACTTCAGGTTCCAAGTCAAGGATGCTGGGGAAGGATGATGGAATTGAGAGGGAATGCATGTACCCAGCTCTCTCAACTAGAGCAACTCCATTAGCATATTATGTTTGAGGCTTTCGTGTGGATTTCCATAGCTCAATTTCATTACAATCTCATCACAGGGGAGTATGCAACATCCCCTCTTTTGTTCAGGACCCAGCTAGATTGTGAGATGCATTCCAAAGTTACATTGAACAGGACTGCAAAGCTCCATTCATGACAGATTGCAGTTGCATGCTATAATCTTTTCTCCTTGTGTGGCCCCCAATCATTTTTCATTCATCTTTAACACTACCTAGGTGTTCTGGCCAATGGAGTCGACTAACGGCTTTTGTATAGACCAACTCTCTTTTGACTTTCTTTGCTTCTATACAGGTCATACTAGTCATGTTTTCTTGTTTACTACTGGACATTTTCACCTTTGTGGGTCTCTCTGACATATCAGCGCGCGCGCGCGCACACACACACACACACACACACACACACACACACGACTGTAGGCTTCTTGTGGATGGCCATGATGCCTGGTGTCTAACACAGTGTGTACACTCAGGATTGCTGAAGACACAAACACTGGTTCTGTAGCCCCCTTATTCTTTCTCCTTTTCCACAAACTCTTCCATTCCTTTAGGAGAGGATCCTTGTATGTCCTCCTCTGTCTTCTTTCTTCTCTCTTCCCCTCTTCTTCAACCCTCTCTTTAGTCTTTCTGTGAGTGTAAAATAACCACCCATGGCTGACAAGGATAAGTCCAGTTACCATGTGTTTAAAAAAAAATTGAAGCCATTCTTTGTGATGGAAATTAAGTAAAACACATATATAGTCCCAAGTAACTACATTTTAAAAAGTGCCTTTAGGTCCAGAGTCATCAGAGTCCTCAGATGCTCCATCTCTAATTGCTTGCTTTTTTTTCACAAGCATCCCTTGAAAACTCTTTTTCTCCTTTTCAGCCCTCAAAACACAGCTAAAATGTCAGTTGCTGCAAATCCTTTACTGATATCCCGAGGCATACTCCATCACCCCTTCTGAAATCTTCCACAGAAATCTTACTATAGTACTTCACACATTATGTTCAACGAATTAATGTGTCTATGCCTCACACAATTAATAAACACAATTAATGTGTTTATGCCTCACATAAGGGCTGGGGGTTGTTTGCTTTATTTTGTTTTGTCCTCCTTTGTCTAGTAGCTAATATACAGACTAGCCTGGTATGTAGATATAGATGCACAATTTTGTTGTGGTTGAATTTGATTTAGATAGATGAATTATCACTTTGGCTTCAAGAAAAAAAGTTCATTCTTACTCAATTTTTATTCTATTTTTCAAATGGGATTGTTTTCTATTATTCACCAAAAATTGAGAGTTATTTTTTTTTTTTTTAGCTATCCTACGAGTTGTATAGAGTTAACAACAAACTTGGCACCTTAACTCAACAAAGAAATTGTTTCTATGGAAAAACATGGTTAATTTTCCAAAATGTTCAAACATACACAAAAGAATAGAGCTTCATCCAGAACTAGATGGTCTTCCCCTTTTCCTTAATGTCTGCCTTGATTCCTGCCCCCAGTTTTACTCCATACGTAATTTAGCTCATTCTCTCCACTCTCCCATGGTTGGCAGTTTGGTTTTCTGTGGTGCATCTTGCAGTCTGCCTTGAATCCATCATTTATGTATTTTCCTGGTCAAATCTATTTCTCAGAGGGTAAGCACTATGCATTTTTCATTGTTGATTTTTCACAATGGGGTATGAGAGCATGATGTACAGAGTAAGTGCTCAGTAAATGGTGGGCTAAATTTTTCTCTGCTCAGTTAAAAAAAAGTGCAATAATTGGAAGTAGAGGAATTTGGCATTTGATTGAAATATTGGGGATTTGATTGGCTATGGGGGATATTTCAGTCCCAGGTTAAACAGTGCCTAGTTTTCTATCATTTATCATCTGAGCTCAAAATGTCCAAATTTCAGTCTTCACACAGGCTCTCTACCCTCACTTTTTCATCTTCTATTCTTTCCTCCAAAGATGAAGAGAAGATAGTCCTGTTAGTAAAGCATTCTTTCTCATCTTTATTGTTCTTATGTGGTCTCTTCATTATGAGATGTCAGTTATGCAACACTCCAAAGACCAGTATTCCAAGAACAAAATGTTCTAGTCATTCTGGTATTAAAAAGTGCTGTTTTCAGGGTGCCTGGGTGACTCAGTCTGTTAAATGTCTGACTCTTGATTTTGGCTCAGGTCATGATCTCACAGTTGATGAGACTGAGCCCCACATTGGGCTCTGCGCTGACAGTGTGGAACCTGCTTGGGATCTCTCTCTCTATCCCTCCCCAACTCACGTTCATTCTCTCTCTCTCTCTCTCTCTGTCTCTCAAAATAAATAAACATTTTTTAAGTGTTGTTTTCTGCTTTTAGGCTACAGTGGTGGCTGTGTTGTCATGCGAGGAAGGAATCCACCTGGTCGCTGGGAAGTGAAGGACTGCAGACAATTTAAGGCAATGTCCCTGTGTAAGCAACCAGTGGGAAATCAGGAGAAAACGGAGCAGGAAGAGAGATGGCCCTTTCACCCCTGCTACTTGGACTGGGAATCAGAGCCTGGCTTGGCGAGCTGCTTCAAGGTGATGCCAAGGGTATCTAGACATTCTGAATGGAACAAACATTATTTCAGTTTTGTCCATGTATCTCCAATTCCTTTATTCCAGAGCAGTGCCTGGCACACAGCAGGTACTTAATATTTGTTGGCTGCCTCTATCTTTTCAATTATATTCCAAAATTTTAAGTTGAAAGACTGACATATCCCTGGTGATACTGAAGGCCTCTTCACGAAGATTGTTATCCAGGCCCCAGTCAATGTTATTTTTGTTGCAATGTACTCCTCACTGGGTATTGAAATGATACAATTCCATATCGTTTGTAAGAAAAAGAATAAAGTATTTCTTATGGAATACTATCATTTTGCTGCTAAGAATAGCTTTTGCAGCTTGCCAGACATCTGAGGATCAAACAAATTAATACATATACTTGATATATGTGTGTACCTGTGTGTATGAAAAGTGTGAAGAAATGTCTTTTTGCAAATCAGCTTTAGATCCTAGATATAAATCACTACCTACAATCCTCTTATCATGAAATATCTGTGAATGCACTCAATTTAATGTACGCATGCACAATCCTACACTGAATTCATTGGGTAACACTGACCTCACAAAGCAGTAAGTTAAACTTTACAAATGAGCAAACTGAGGCAGCAGGATGAAGTGATTTGCCCAAGATCCCAATTACTTGTTGACAGAATTGGAATAAATTCCTGGTCTTGGGAATCCCAGTTCAGTGCTTTTTCTACCATATATTACCCTGACGTGACAACAAATGTAAAGGTGTGTTTGATGGGCATGGTGGTAGGATTGATGAATTTTAAGTGATTCAAGAAAAGGTTCCCAGAGGAGCTGAGTTTTGACATATAATTTAAAAGATGGAAAGGCTGTGCTGTGGCCCAGAGGACTGGGAAAACCATTTATTCTGGTCTCAGCAAATCAGAGCTTGGCGAAGCCTGGCCGCAGGGTGCCTGCCTGGCATCAGAAACTCGGGAGCAGTGTCAGGCAATTAAAAACAAGGAGGGCACAGAGGCCCAGGATTTGGAGTTCTGTGTTTTTGGGCCCTTACCCTTGATCTTAAATAAAGTCAGGACCAGACTCTCCATTTGACTGACTTCTTCCTGCTATTGCAAGGACAGCTGAGAAACAGCAGAGAATTTAGGCACAGCTAAAACCCAAAGAACTTAGTAATATACCTGCCCTAGGTCCCAGGTCTCATTTCTCATTTCTTGCTGTGGGTCAGCCAGATTCATGATCCTTCAGCCAATTCTAATTTGTCAGAAGGCAATCTGGTGGGATGGAAATTCATGGGCTCCTGCAGGAAGGAGTGCTGGATGTAATCCTAGTCCTGCCTATTTGTAGCTCTGTGACTGAAATTTGTAATCTCTCTTAGTCTGACTCTCATTGTCTCTTGACAAACATTTATTAAGGGACAAGTATATGCCAGTTACAGGAAATTTAGAAGAAAAAAAAAGGAACTCAAGGAATTCCTTTATAAAACAGCTGATTCCTTCTATCATTCTCATGAATTTGTTGTGAGAATAAAATGAGATAACAGTTTTACGATGAGTAGACACATTCTAGTTCAATAAATGTTATTTTCCCCTACTGGGTCAAGCTTTTAATATAGATTAATGACAATTATATTACTGTTATTTTCTTGTCGAGAATTAAACCACCTCACCTTATCCATGATAGTGTCAACTTTTCTTTGCTTCTTACTAAACCAGGTATTTCACAGTGAAAAAGTCCTGATGAAAAGAACATGGAGAGAAGCAGAAGCATTTTGTGAAGAATTTGGAGCTCATCTTGCAAGCTTTGCCCATATTGAGGAAGAGAATTTTGTGAATGAGCTTTTGCATTCAAAATTCAATAGGTAAATACTTGTTCATTTTGAAAAATGCAATCAAATATTCTGTCTCCCAGTTATGAGTTCTCAGGGAAGAGTATCCCAAATATTTGTTTAAAATCTCAAGTATTTAAGCCTAAAAGCAACTAGCCATTAGTTGTGAAAGAAAAATACATACATATACATTTTTATATTTATATTGCACCCAGTTCTCATTACATAAAACAAAGAACAAAGTGATGATTGTTTTGATATTTGAAATTTTTTCTGTGTACTTCAAATCAGAATTTTAGAGCTTCTCTGCCAAACTCAGTAATTATCTAGCCCCGTGATTTTCAAACTGTTGCCTGGGAATCCCAAGAGTCCTGGAACTCAGGACTAGGAAGGGAACAAGAGACAGAAGTCCCGCTTCTGTGCTCGCTGACCTACGAGAGCGCTCCCACCAGCTCCTCTTCTATTTATTTTGTTATAATAGAGTCCATGTAAGATTTTGCTTGGAAAAAAAAGAAAGCCCTATTGATTGATTCCCAATTTTACATTTGAGGAACCAGGCATTCACTTGTTGGCATCTACCTCGCAAGTTTACAGAATCTTTAACTGCATGGAGTTAGAAAATCAATTTAGTTTAAACTTGAAGAAACGTAAAAGGCTTGTACTATTTTCTACCCAATACAAAAATTCGCTCTGCGGTATTCCTGTGGTCATCTTCTGTCTGCACAATTCCTTTCAGAGTGCTTCTTATTTGGGAGAATGCCCGTTCCATTACTGGAGGGTGATTTCAAAGATCGACTTTCTAGTAAGCCAGAGCAATACAGATCAAGTTTACTCTATTTTTGGTTATTTGAGGACAGCCATTATGTTCTCTTTTAGTGAGCCTTCTTATCCATTGGCCTCTTTCTGTAAAATGTTCTTGTCAACTAGCATACATGTTTGGAATATCTTCTATGGAAGGGGTACTTTTATATGCATAGTTGGCTGGAGCATGCAATAGATAGGATGGACAAAATCTCACCCCTGAGAATGTTGTAGTCTAAGGGGGCCTGACTCCCTGGCTCCACACATTTATTTAGTAAAAACAAATGTAACACCAAGTACTATGCTCTAAGCTCTGGAAATCTGGAGTCTCAATGAAACACTTGCTTGAATCACAGAGAAAAATCCAGAACAACTTTTTGAGGAAAATCCTGGTCTTCCCATAAGTTTCCTTTAGGATATTCCACAAAAAGATTAATATGTAATATCTATCAAATTATTCATCTCCAACATCAACAGTAATGACCTTAATGGTAGGAGTCGTTGACAACATCTCCCAATGTGAGTTTCACAGAGCACTGTTGGGGGGGGGAAAGTCAAATATGTTTGCAAAACAAGGCACAAACTTGGAAATTTGCCATATGCCTTAGCATTGTAAAGGCTTCTAGAAGGAAGCACTTTCTTTGACCACAAATCTCCCTCTTTTTTTTTTTTTTTTTTTTGAGAATACTTATCAACATTCCATGGAACTGCTAGTGTCTATGGGAAATGCTGACCAAAAAATCATGCTTCCCAAATTTGGCTGATTATCACACTCACTTGGGACACCTTATAATACAGAGCCCTCTGGTCTCACACCAGAGCTGCTGAGTCAGATTCTCTCAGACTGAAGAAAAGTTCAAGAAGCTTCCTGATTAATTGGATTGTTAGTCTGGTATGAGGCCACAGATCCAAGGGATATGGGATTATCTCCATCCTTCTAAGTTGTAACTTTGCTTCATGACTTTAGCCCCTTGCAAAACATCCTTTCATACTTGAGTATAGTGAGGTTTGCTATGTGAAACAAACATGTGCAAACTGCTTCCAAATTTGCTGTGAGATCAAATATCATTATGTCATTTCTATTTCTATAAGTTCTCACACTTGAAATTACTTTAATATTAAGCATCTATCAAATTATTAATCTTTAGCACTTAATCATAAAAGCTATATAATATTACTTTGTGCCCAGACTGCCAGGGAGTTCAACAAAATTTCATGTTTGCTTAGAGCAAATAAACCAAATCTCATAGTTAGCATATATTCTCCTCCTTATGGCACTGATTTTCTATTTCTATTTTATTATTTATTATGTTATTAAAAATCATACAATTTTAGGAAATGGATGAAGAGAAAATTAATGCCAGTTCATTACCTAAGAGCCAGGACATATCAGGAAAAATGTTGAACTCTGTGAGTAAAGGAACAAAAAGTTCTCAAGGCAGGAGAGTGATATGAATTTCCAGCCTAGACCATTGATGTTAAGGTACCTGGCTTAACCTTAAGGCAGCATCCTCTGCCTCCATAACCTTATAAGTTGTAAATTGTAAACTGTAATCATGGCAGTTGCCAGCCAGGCCCCAGTGACCTCTCGGATTTCTAAGTCACATTTTACTTTCATTTGTATTGTTCAGGCACAGTAGCTCTCATATTTGAGAAGTGGATGCTTCAGAATAGTCTTTCTTCTCTGTACTAATGAAAATAAAGCATCTGTCATGATTTCTGAATCTTTTAAATCTTTAATTCTCCAAATTATTCTCAGAAAATTGTCTTAGTGAGATGGGTTATTGTACAGTTAGAATTTATTGGTTGATTTATTGAGTACTCTGTGGTTTGATGTATTTTTCCTCCACCTAATAGGAGGGAAGATGGTTCTCTGTGAGGTTTCTCACCACATCTAACCCAGTGGTGACTGCTGAAGTTAATCTACTGTGCCTCAGACTGATTTGCTATGAAATTATTTATGCTGGGATCTGAAAAAAACAAAAAAAACAAAATCTACTGTGTACCTTCTATTAAAGGGGGTGGTGGTAATTAACCTTCAGAGAATACATGAACATTTGACCAAAAAAAAAAAAAAAGCAACAAATCAAAGCATAGTAAAGTAATAAATACATAGGAAATAGTAAAAAGTCCTCTAGGGAAAAGATGCTCCAAAATTTCTTACCAACTTGCTTTCATGTGTTCTTATCTTGATTGAAAGGTGTTGCCACTCCTAATGAACATGAGAAAGCAATGTTCTCAATATAGGTTGACTTTTCCCCCAACCGCACGTCACCAGTGAGCGCAATAAGCCAAGAGAAACGGGAAGCCAGGCTAATCTTCTCTACATTCATTTCATAGCTCAGGTTTTGCATAAAGGAAATGTTCAATAAATGTTTGTTTGACTTGATCCATCCTGCCAGTAGTATCAGCTGTTTCCTACACACATAATTACTTTAAAATATTTCTTCAACCTTTTACATAATGTTATGAATTCAATAGGAAGAGCCAAGTTTTTGTTTTTCTATTCACAGGACAGAAGAAAGGCAGTTCTGGATTGGATTTAATAAAAGAAACCCACTGAATGCTGGCTCCTGGGAGTGGTCTGATGGGACTCCTGTAAGTTTTTCCAAACTGAAGAAAAGGAAATGAATTCAAAACAGGTGGCCCTGGAACACCTTGGTAAACCAGCCAGCAGAAACTGGAAATAATGACTATATTTCCTGTGACTCAGACCCAGATCGAAAACTGCACCAGATCTCAGTACCATTAGAGTAATTTCTGCAAAGTCCTGGGAAACCTTTACTAGCCACATAGATCTGAGGCCAACTGTAGGATCTTATCCTGGAAAGAGATCAAAGATCTCTGAAATGTCCCCAGACTATCTCCCATGTGAAGTCTCAAGAAAGAAGCAACCATTGTTTAAAATAATATGAGGCTTTGTTTACCCCACCCTCCCTCTCTGTCTTAGTACCTAATTATATGAATGTGGGACCCAAGTCCAGATTACAATGGAAAAAAACCATTTCAGTTTATCTCTAAAAGGACAGAAATGCCACACTTAGAAATACCATCTCCTCAACCAGAGCAAGTTATTCAGAAAGAAAAAATAATACTTGGCTTTTCATTCAGCCTCATGCTTGTAAAATCCTCTGTGAAGGAAAGAAAGAAGAAACTCCTCCCTATTACATTTTTTTCAGGCGCAATGAGGAAGTCTCACATTTCCCTCAAGATGATAGGGAAAAAATGGAAGCAGTATCCCAGATTGAAATGGGATTCATCTGAGGTCCATGCAAAATCAAGTTATTCAGTTTCACCTGTGAAACGGGGCTACTAGCAAGAGTCGGCAGTGAGCATTTAATGCAGCTGCTATTTACTGAACCTGAATTATGTTCCAAACACTGGGTTGAATGTGCCGCAGCATGATCTCATTTCCCCTTATGATGATTCAGTGCAGTGGTTATTAGAATGCTTAAATAGTTTGCCTAAAATAATGCTTCAGAGAGCCAGGATTTGTACACACGTTGTCTGCCTCCAAAGCTATGATGTTACAATGTCTCCCAGTTGGCCAAAGTTTGACGTAGTAAAGATCAATAGAGAAATAAGATCTCTAGCCCCACTAGAGAAAATCTGTGGCAAGGAAAGGATCTGTGGAAAACTCTATGTGGGAAACAAAAATAATAAGGCCATGCTAGTCAAACATATATATATATATATACATATATATATATATATATATAAAACGTATTTTCACCTCAGTGCTGCTTCTCTGAGAAGGATATCGGGACCAGAGAGTAGGAAGAGATCTTAGAAATCACGCAGCCCCACCCATCTATTTTGCTGTCAAAGAAACTGAGGCCCAGAGAGTGGAAGGAACTTAGCAGAGTCCGCCTGCTACATAAATGGCAGCCACCATATGGCACACTTGGGTGATTAATGTCAATGTGGCACTTGAAAAATTAAATGTGCCGTGTAGAGGTTGAGAATGCTTCCTTTTGTTTTAGTAAAGCAGTCTTATTAGTAATAGCGAGGAACAATTTGGTTCAGAATAAATGAGATAAAGCCATGAAGCAGTGCACTGAGTTCCTCACCACCACTCCCTACTAGACAAAACAAATATTCAAATGCACACCTTTGCCTGAATCTGAGCTTACATACATGTAAGCTAGATGAGTTATTGTGTGATTGTGTACATGTTTGAAGAGGAGTATTACGTTTCAAACATCCTCTTTTTCCCAAATTTTTGCTCCAGTTTTACTTGTGGTCCATCCATTCTTCTGTCAGGTAGCCATTAAATCATTGAGAAGAATGAATCTTTACTTCATATCCCTATACATGATCATTCATGAAAAGTGTGGATCGTTTCCCAATTAAAGCCAGTGATGAATTAAAATTTAGTGACTGAAGACGAAAAGCTTAGCATACATGCAAAAGAATCTACATCACAGAAGGGACTCAAATCTGACAGATCAGAGCCTTTCAGAAGTTCACCCAGGGTCCCAGGACAAGCCTATTGCAGCCAGTGAGACAACAGTACAACCTCAGAAGGGAGCATGCACCTGATTTGTTCTCTCTGGAGAAAGGAATAGCATGCTTCTTTTTAGGAAAAAAGCATCCTTAAGGAAAAATGCTAATTTGGTTAGCTTGTTCTTTGCAAATGTGGGACAATCTTTAAATGCGCTCTTTTTTTTTTAAATTTTTTTTAATGTTTATTTATTTTTGAGACAGAGACAGACAGAGCATGAACGGGGAAGGGTCAGAGAGAGGGAGACACAGAATCTGAAACAGGCTCCAGGCTCTGAGCTGTCAGCACAGAGCCGACGCGGGGCTCGAACTCACGGACCACAAGATCATGACCTGAGCCGAAGTTGGCCGCTTAACCGACTGAGCCACCCAGGCGCCCCTAAATGCAATTTTATCCAGACATTTCTTAAGCTTCCTCCAGAAGCCTATTGTGATTTATTTACAGAGAAACTTTTTGTGGGGGATCATCATTAAGAAATAATGAACTTGATCTGCTGCAGGTTGTCTCTTCATTTTTAGACAATACTTATTTTGGAGAAGATGCAAGAAATTGTGCTATTTATAAAGCAAATAAAACATTGCTGCCCTTGCACTGTGGTTCCAAACGTGAATGGATATGCAAGATTCCAAGAGGTAAAAATAGTAATAAGATATTTACTATGTGTTTGCTTTCTAATAATCCATAGCACTTTTCCAAGTGAAGAGTTACAGAAATCTAAAATGTAAGCATCCTGGTCTACAGTACCAACAACCCTCGTGATGAACCAAATTGCACGAGTTGAGCAAAGGATGCATCGTAGGGGAATGAGAAAAGGTGACACCACGGCAGTACGCTAATTTAGTTAATGGGAAACAAAGATAACCAACTGTATTGTGGAATATGATATTTTTCAAGTACAGTCTGGAAGAAATGTCACTGTGACATGACAAGCAAACCAAATCACTTGTCAAATGAGTAAGAGAAAACACCCGCCACAGTGTGTGCCACACAGTAGGCCCTTGACAAGTGCTCACATCCTTTCTTCTTTAATCAGAGGCCTCTCTTGAGCCTCCTTTTCAGGTTTGAGAACTAACCATATTTCAGACAGCACAAAAGTACCTGGTTTTTAAATGCTCTTTTAAAGAGCAAAGTCCAAGATGTTGTGTTTAGAGCTGCAGTACTTCAGAGTTGGCGCACTTGTTAAGAAACGTCCCTCAACGTGGCTTGTTTTCACTTTGCAGATGTGAGACCCAAGATTCCACCCTGGTACCAGTACGGTAAGAGCTATCCTGGCGGTTCTTCAATTTCTAACTACCTGCTGTCATATACAATTACTGTATTATTACAGTCCTCCAATCGAGCCTCTCTTTTCTTATTTCAATCCAGAACTAATTTGCTCAAAGTAACTAATAATCAAATTAATAAAAGTCATTAAATATGATTAAAGATTAGTATTATAGCTTAACACTCTTTTCATGACATGTGACTTTAAAATATGCATTTATCCCAGACCTTGGAATACAAATGTAGTTTTCTTAGCTATACCAAGGAAATTAAGCAAATTATATGCTGAGTTATGTGTATGTAAAAATATTTATGTATATGTAAACGCACACATTGTTTTTAATGCTAAGCAACTGAATTACAAATTTGGGGTCGATCATAACATATCCTATTAAGTCTGCATTATATCAGTCAATAGTTTTTGCATGATTTGCATTGGTTTTTGTTTTTTTGGTCTTGTTGTTTTTCAGATGCACCCTGGCTCTTTTATCAGGATGCAGAGTATCTTTTTCATACCTATGCTGCAGAATGGTCCTCCTTTGAGTTTGTCTGTGGCTGGCTACGTGGTGATCTTCTCACAATTCATTCTGCACATGAGCAAGAATTTATCCTCAGGAAAATAAGAGCGGTATTTCAGTATAATTAACCATGAGAGATTCAGAGCTTAGCCCCTTCTTCAGTCTTTGGGAGGATTTTTTTTTTTTTTATTTCAGACATTTATTTAAGTTTCATTAAAAGCCACAGGTTTTTTAAGAATTGTTTTTCTTTTTCGTATAGGGATTAAGAGAAAATAATGGAAACACAGGCTTACTATGTTGGTCATCATATCACTTTTCTTGATTCTTAGTAGCATCACTATGAGTAAGTAGGGCTTTATTGTTTTAGTGAGGGTCATTCAGTCCTTCTGGACATATTTATTCGGAGTCTACTCTTTGAAGGACTTGGGCTCTATCAGTGATTAAAACAGACCAAAATTCCTGCCCTTGTGAAGCTTATAATCTAGTCTGAGAAGAAAGACCATAATCAATATAAGCACATAGCATTAGAAAATAGTTTAGAAAAAGACAAATAGATAAATGGAATGGGAGAAAATAAAGCACAAATGAGAGACATGGTATACTGGGGAGAGGGTAGGGAGAGCACATGGATGATTTAAAGTTCTGAATTTTACTTACAAGAGTACAATATTTATAAGACTCTAAAGACTCAATATTCAGAAAACGATAGGGAGTGGTTTTCCATTTCAATGTAAAACAAAGACTTAGACAATCTTTGAGGAGCTAGGCTAATTGGAAAGGCATCCAAAACCTGTTAAATAATGAAACAGACTGCCAGGAATAGTATATGTTTTCCTTGTGTTTCTTCACCAAGCATTTATTAAGGTAAGTGTTTATTAAGTATTTTTTAAGTATTACTTATTAAGTATTTATTAAGGTAAGTGTCGGGGATTGTGATATTTGTCAAAGACATAATGTCAAGAACACAAAAATGAGATACAGACTCTGTTTTTAAAAAAAACTTGGGGCGCCTGGGTGGCTCAGTCGGTTAAGCGGCCGACTTCGGCTCAGGTCGTGATCTCGCGGTCTGTGAGTTCGAGCCCCGCGTCGGGCTCTGTGCTGACAACTCAGAGCCTGGAGCATGTTTCAGATTCTGTGTCTCCCTCTCTCTCACCCTCCCCTGTTCATGCTCTGTCTCTCCCTGTCTCAAAAATAAATAAAACGTTAAATAAATAAATAAATAAATAAATAAATAAATAAATAAAACTGGAAGTAATAATAAGTGAAAAGGGAGCAATATGTAGAAATTACCAAGGGGACATTAAGGGGAGAAACCTCACTCCCAGTTTTCCTTAGGAAATCTTTGAAAGTAAGGAAAAGACTTTTTTTCTTTTCCATAATTTAACATTATTTCATGATCACCAGGAATCCTTTGTTGAGCTATCATCTTTTCATATGTTTGTAAGTTGATTGTTAAAATGAAGCTCTATATTTAAAGCATCCTTGGGTTGTAAGAGAAATGTCTTCCATTACAGCTCATGGAGCTTTTCCATTTCTATAATCCTGTTTGATGCACAGGAGCCTGTGAGGTGTACGTAGGTCAAGACCACTACTGATTTGTGATGGAAAAAGCTGAACAACAGGGATATTCGATGACAACCTCACAGTCCCACAGACTCAGTGATAGACCAATCGCTAGAACATGATGTTCCCCACTATTTTGTGCACTATTTTTACCACCTTTCCTCTCCCACAAATGGAACATTCAAGCCAAAACCATAATGTTAAGTATTAACATGATGTCATAAAATATGTTTGTTTCTTTAACAAGACAGCGGATTCCTGGTGGCAATAACAAGACATCAGGTCAATGTCTGAAAACCAATCCATCCTCTGACATGACAAAGTGTATGTCTCAAAGGGAACTGATATTTGGCCAGTACTTACTGTAACAGTGTCAGGCACTGTGCTAAGTATTAATGTTTAATGGCATTTAATCTTTCCAAGGACTATCTATGGGAAGTCTATTATTAGTACATTTTACAGATGAGGAAGCTGAAACTCCAAAGAGGTGAAGTAACTTGGTTACTTGCACAGCGGCTGAGTGGTGGAATCTGAAAGTGAACCCAGGCCATCTGACTTACGGTGTCATTTTAAAACCCTCTGCTTGCAGCAGAGCAGCGCCATGGGAGGGATATAAGCGCACAATGTCTTCATTATATTAAAATGCTAGTTCTAAAATCCGTCTCCAAAAGATGGTGCCAGCCCTGTCCCAGACATGAGCAATGAAAGACTTCTTTGATCTTTCCAATGAGCTTAGCTCTCCTGGAAACATCTGCAGGTCTTCTATCTTCACCTTTCCCTTAATTCAACCTCCCAATTATTGTGTTTGGGAAGCCAGTGGGGATGGCAGAGTTAATACCTCCCATAGAAGGGAATAATAAAACCCATCGGTTTAGCTGTTTGAGAAGTCATACCTAGCTCTATGATACTAGTTGAGGGCAAAATCTAGTGTGATCTCAAACCACACAAACCTTATGGTATCTTATATGGCAAAACTGTTACCCAGCCTGAGACCATGTTGTTATAAATTGCCCTGTCAGTATCATGGGTGAGCGGCTGACTGATCTAACACCACAAAAGAAAACTACTGGATGGTATAAAATGTGCAGATTGAAAAAGGGGCAAGAGAGGTAAGGGGAAAGGGTATCAATTTAGAAAGAAGAAAACTATAGGTTTCCAAAACAGTTATTATTGCATAATATTGTGGCTGTGTTAGGCACTTTTTGGTGGTGGTGAGAGTAGTGGTATTTATGGTGACCATTTACAGTTCATGAGCGAGAAACTCCATATCTACAAAGGTCCTACTAGAAGGAGTCAGTTCAGAAGCTACTTTATTCCAGGATGGTGAACTAAACATGTCGAGGTCATACCACTCACTTTTGTGGCACACTCATCCTATTAGTGCAGGAAGAATCACAATACTAATTAAATATTTTTAATATTCCATATGTGTTGTATAGTTTCCCTAAAAGAGTAGTAACTTAGAAATGTGAAGAACAAAAATAACAATTGGAAAGTAAAAGAACTATTGAAAAAGAAAGCTGGATACAGTTTTTAAAATCTGAAGAATTTTTTTTTTACAGTGTTTCTATCTTGGAAATGTGGTTAGTCAGTATTTTCTCTTTGAATAACGGAATACCACAGGCATGATGAGAGTGAATTTTTGAGTACTTCTTTTTTGAACCATCTTGTTGGGTTAGATTAATGCCAAAAAAAAAGCCATAGCACTGTGGGAATTGTTTAACATGAACTACTAGCCAAATAGTCCACTCAGCTAACATTTTATGCTGTGTTGTGCAATATTTGCATGTCAAAATTGAAATTTACTCTTATTTTTATAAGTTCATGTCTAAATACTTCTAACAAAAATATATCAAGTCTATTAGTCATCCACCAAAATATGATGTTTTAAAAACCTTAAAATAACTTGGTTTTGGTATTTTTGATGGAAACATTTGAAGAGATGACAGGCTATTCTTCCTTGTATTATATTGTAGATTAATTACTTTGTAGATTATATTAGCTGGTGCTGTATTTTTTTATAAGTATTCTTCCCATATGATGCTATCTATAATGGCTGTCACAAAACATAGTTGATGTTACGAAATCTGTGGTCATATCACATTTCTTTATAGGAAAGAACATTAATAAGTCTTCTATTGTGAATTTATACCTAAGCTAAAATTTAAAACATCTATTTTTCACCATGCATTTTTCACCCTAGCTTCTAGCTTGTCCTTCTTGCTTGCAGCTCTATTCCGTATCCCAACAGGTTGTGGTGTGCCATATAGAGGATTACCATGCTGTAATTGAAGTGGTAATAAATATGTCACTTAAGATGCAGTAGGTATAATTTCTCTTTAGAGGTCCCTAATTGGGGCAGTGAACAATCAGCCTGTGATTTCCACTACTGTTGCATGTGAGACCTCTTTAGATTGAATGAAATTGTTGTGGTTCTCCCACTGAGTTCACAGCCAGTCTCAATGGACCCATTCCAAAGCTTGACAAAAGGAATCTAAATTCAGCATGTAAGAACATGTCCATGAAACAACACCTCAGGGACCCCAAATTATAGTTGCTCCATCTTACATTACTCTCAAATTGCTGATATAGCAGACAGCCACACTATTCAAGGAGTAAAAATACCTGTTTATAAATTAGAATGTTAGAGAGTTGTTAGGTTCTGTTGTATGATGACCCAAAATTCTGTGGGAAAAAAAAATATATCTTAAGGTGTATTCTCCAATTTTTACAGAAGAAATGAAGTGCAAATTTAAATATGCAATGCCTTCAAATTAACAGGCTTTTAGCTTAAAAATTATGTTACATTTCACACACACACACACACACACACACACACACACACACACACACACACTGAGCACACACACAATACAGTATATTGATTTAGAAGTCTTAGAGAAATTCTTACTGCCTCTTCCTCTTTTATAGTTAAAGAGGGAATTTCAATTTCCAGGGTCATCAGTCCGGTATTATATTTGCCATAATGTATGTACATGTCCATGCACACATGTGTGAAGATGGGGTTTCATTTTAGACTTTAGTGTACTGGGATCTGTCTGATAAATAATGGTACAATATCATTAAAATATAGAAATAATTTTCTGATTGTGAAACACTGGAAGTTCTGTCATATTCCTTTGTCCTATATTGTGTCTATTTAAATGGGGAGCATGCTATGACTCAGTTTAAAAGCTTAACAATCAGACTAATGCCAAAAATTCAAAATCTTTTTTACTATTGATGTCTTTGTGCCTTGATTGCTTTCAAACAGCATGGCACAGGCAGTAAACTTCTATAAACTGCTGAGATGATAAAACACTAAATTTTTAGGGAAAAAAAGGAGTCCTATTTTACTTTACAATATTACTTTTTAAAGCCCTCTTATTAAAGTTAGAAAATGTACTTTTAAATACATAGGGAAAGTTGTAAGAAAGATTTTCAATATTTGATTCCAATTTCCCTTCATAATGAGGAGAGAATATTTTAAGATAATGAATTTTCAGGTTCTCTGAAGATGCTAGGCCTAGTGTACTCTTCTTTAGATAATTGGGTAAAATACTAAAGAATAGAAAGCTATTAACAGCAACCCCATTAATCTTAATAGTGAAAAGGGAAAACAAGTAGAATAAACGCTGACATTTTCTTTCTTTCTTTTTTTTTTTAATAGCTATCAAAGTATGGTATAAATTGGTGGATTGGACTTCAAGAAGAAAGAGCCAATGATGAATTTCGGTATGGACCTAGATCAATTTGCATTTTATTTTGTTTGACAGGTTTTATTTGCAGAATGATTGGACTAGATCTTAGTGATCAATTTGTTGAATAGCCTTCAAACATTATCTTTAACTCATAAATTTTCATTTCTCTAACCAAAGACATGAGTATTTTTTTAATTTAGTTAAACATTATGCCTTTAGTCCATACCCCAGAACTTCAAGAATGGTGTTTGGAGACTGGACATACAGAAAAAGAGAAGACCCTAAATTTTTCCATTTTCCTACAGCTGGAGAGATGGAACGCCAGTAACATACCAAAACTGGGACAAGGGAAGAGATGGATCTATGAATAATCAGAGCCAGAGATGTGGCTTCATTTCATCCCTAACAGGTTATTTTACTCATCCATTTTGGGGTTTATAATACAAACTGATAGTTTTCAGGAGGCTTGAAGTCTCCTTTTCATTGCATTAGTTCAGTGAAAAGGTTTTATTTGGCTAATTTGCTTTTTAGTTGAATGTGTTTCATCAGTCTTAAGGTTTAAGGATGGTCATCCCTACAGTTAATTCCATGTGTTCATGTTCTTGAAAATGAATTACAACCAGATGTCATTCCTCAAGAAGCAAAATGGCACCAGAAATAGGCCCATTGACACTGATCAAAAATATACCTGACAAATACTATTCTCTATAAAATGTCAATATGGGCTCATTTTTTAAAATTTTTTTTTCAACGTTTTTATTTAGTTTTGGGACAGAGAGAGACAGAGCATGAACGGGGGAGGGGCAGAGAGAGAGGGAGACACAGAATCGGAAACAGGCTCCAGGCTCCGAGCCATCAGCCCAGAGCCTGACGCGGGGCTCGAACTCACGGACCGCGAGATCGTGACCTGGCTGAAGTCGGACGCTTAACCGACTGCGCCACCCAGGCGCCCCAATATGGGCTCATTTTTAAAATCTCTTCTTAATATTCAGTTTATATTTGGCCAGAACTTTACCCTCTATGAAATTTACTTCCACCTTCCCATTTAAGAAAGATTTTCATTGAATTCAGTATTTTTTTAATGCCTGTCATTAACTGTTTCTTGCCATAGAATACCAACTGTCTCCAAGTTGGATTTAGAAATACATGTACGTTTAAGATGGGTGGGTTTTTTTTTTAATTTATCAGTACAATGTTATTTGGGTTCATTGTCCACTCATATTCACCCCACTCTTTCTATCCTATAAAAGGTAATTATGTTCCTGACTCTTAACAGATTCATAGTGAACCTGTGCATCAAGGCAGGAGAGGGATAAGCACAGAAAGCAATCCTTGGTGGAAGGGTGTCTGCAGAGAAAGGAAAGGAAAAACCACGTTGTTAATCAGCTCTCTTTTGCCAGCAGGTGTCACAACAGCCTACAGAAAGGCTGTTTTGTGATTCTGGAAGACTAGCAGCTACTCTGCATTGAAAATAGCATGCCAGCCCCTCCTTCAAAATGCCTTTTTTTTTTTTTTTTTTTTTTTGGTTCATATCCCTCACTAGAAAACTGAAACCTGCCTTTGCAATTTACATGCATCCCTGCCCTATTCTGGGATTTATAACTTGAATGCTAATGAAATGCATTCTATAACCTTTACTCTGAAAATATAGCTCTTCTAAATTAAAATACATTTTACAGGAGGCTAAGGACTTTGGGATGTATCTTCCTGAGGGCATGTCTATGTGTGCCTGTTTTGTTTAAGGGTGCGTGTTGAAAAGTGCTTCTTTCTTAGAAGTTACAGAGTTAATTTTTCTACATTGTGTATTTTCTAAAGAATTAGAAATTAGAAATGATCATCTATTGTTTTAGAATCTTGTTTCTCTTTATATTGAAATTGAATATTTTAAAACAAAAATATTACTTTACATTCTTCTGTTAACCAAGTTAAATATTCTCAGCACTTTAATCAGTTCTGTGATTTCAACTGTAATATTTCAGTTAGTTGGGGCATTTTTTTCTTTTTTTTGGCATTTGCGAAATTCCTACATTCTCAAATTAGAATTACCGATTTAACATCCTGACCAGTTTGCTCTTGCCATGAGAGAACTCTGTTAGCAGTTTAGTCCAATTTCTAGATTTAAAAAATTATGATAAACCATTAGCAGTCATAAAAATGTGATACACAAAGAATGCTTACAAAGAGTCACCATTATTTCAGGTCATCTCTAACTCATTTACTCCTCCAGGACTCTGGGCTAGTGAAGAGTGTTCAGTTTCTATGCCTAGCATCTGTAAGCGAAAGAAGGTTTGGCTCATAGAGAAAGAGAAAGATATCCCAAAACAACATGGAACATGTCCCAAAGGATGGCTATATATTAACTATAAGGTAAACTCATTTTCAAAAAGTTGCCTGTGTTTCTCTCTTGTAGACATTTTAGAACGTAATTTTAAAAGTAGGTATGGCTTTGAAAAACCAGGAGTTGTCCACTGGACCTGGAATTTTTTTGTCACAGCTTTCAAGAGATTTGAGGTTTTCAAGGTAGGGGCAATCTCTTGGAATAAAGAAACAGCCTTGACACCACCCTTCATTTGTATACTGTTTTTGCTCACAATCCTTCATTGTGCTGTATAACTGTTTCATTAGGCGTGATGCATATGAATGTGTGTAACTGGGCCCTGCCCCCAAATGAGCTGTCAACTCCAGAGGGCACAGACTCCATCTTCCCTTTCTTTTGTGTCTTCCCTGCCTGGAGCTGGCATAGAGCTCTGCCCGCTGTGTGAATTGACCCACTAATAATGTCATCTTGAGCCTCATAAAGCTGGTGCTTCCGTGCAGAATTGAAATTTAAAAAAAAAAAAAATTGCCAGTGGGGATATTGTAAACCAGATTTATTATTTCTGATAATGCCTCCAATTAAGGCCAAGAATTTTTCTCCACTCTATTATGTTTTATAATAAAATAACTTTATAGGCCTTAGGTGTGGAAGTAATTAAAATGCATCCCAAAATATAAAAGTTTAATTCTTTGATAATGGAAAAACCCAAACTGTGTCATAATTTTATATGTTAATATGAAATTGCTCTTTGTTGACAGCCAGTTTTCAATCTGTATATTCAGTTATATTGGCAGAGCCTTCTCTCCTTTATGATCTTCCGTTCACTGTTAATTTGTGATATGGGGCCACTGGGATTTTACACGTATTTGTTGAACACTTACCTCATATTTGGCACTGATTTTTTTAATTGTGGTAAAATTCACATAATATAGAATTTACCATCTTAACCATTTTTAAGTGTTTAGTGAGGTAGTGTTAAGTATATTCACATTGTTGTGCAATGAATCTGCTGACCTTTTTCATCTTGTAAAACTGAAACCCTAAATCCAATAAACAACAACCCCTCATTTCCCCTCTCCCAGCCCCTGGCAACTATAATTCTGCTTTCTGTTTCTGTTAATTTGACTACTTCAGACACTGAGGATAAGTAGAGTTGTACGTTATTTGATCTTTTGTGAGTGGGTTATTTCACTAAGCAGAACGTCCTCCAAGTTCATCCATGTTAGAGCATGTGTCAGAATTTCCTTCCTTTTTGAGACAATAATATTCCATTTTATGTATGTACCACATTTTGTTTTTCCACTCACCCACTGATGACATTTGGGTTTCTTCCACCTTGTGGCTAAGAGTTTTTGCTGGCTGATTTAAAAGATATTTCTTATTTTGTTCAATTCTTTAAATACACAGAATTATTATCCCATCCTATACACAAGAAGACCAAGACTGGTAACATTGTGTGCTTTTTCTGGAAGTTCACAGCAAATAAGTGTCAGGTTGAGAATCAACCTCAGGTTTTCTGACCTCCAGTCAAGTAGTCTTGTCTCTTTCCTACAGTTGCCACTTCATATGAGAATTCTTAAATTACTAGATCAGTTTAGCCCCATGATACAGTCAATCTGGTGGCACTGAGATATCTTCTAAAATATAGTGGTTTTCTAAAACTTTATATGGTATTGAGGTACATTTTTAATAGTCAATACTTTCTGCCTGATTCCTATTTTCCCAAACTATAAAATCTACCAGTTACAAGTAATTTATACATTTCAATATAAGAAACGTAGCAAGTATTCAATAGAACACTGAGTATAACTAAGTCTTTAATTAAAACCTTTGACAATTAGTTCTTTTTATAGCTATTCTATCGTGGTAAAATATATTTAAAATAAAATATGCCATTTTTACCATTTTAAAGGTACAATTCAGTGGCAATAATTATATTCACAATGTTATTCAACCATCCCCTTTATTTCTAAAATTTATCATCATCCCAAACAGAAACCCTGTAACTATTAAGCAGTAACTCCCAATTCCCCATTCCTCCAGCCATGGTAAGTTCTAATCTGTTTCCTATCTCTATGAATTTGCCTGTCTAGATATTTCATGTAAGTGAATTTATACAATATTTGTCCTTTTTTTTCTGGCTTATTTCTCTTTGAATAATGTTTTCACTGTTTATCCATATTATAATGTGTATCAGAACTTCATCCCTCTTTATGACTAACTAATATTCCACACCACATTTTGTTTTGCCATTCATCTGTTGATGGACTTGGGTTGTTTCCACGTTTTGGTTATTGTTAATAAATTTTCAATGACCATTGGCATACAGGTATCTGCTGGAGCCCCTGTTTTCACTTCTTTTGGATATACACCTAGGAATGGAATTGCTACATCATGTACTAATTCTGTGTTTAACTTTTTGAAGAACCAGCAAAATGTTTTTCACATACATGGCTGAACCATTTTACAAGCCTGCTAGCAATGTATGCTAGCAATTTCTCCACATCCTTAACAACACTTGTTATTAGCTATCTTTTTGCATGCATCCTAGTGCATGTCTAGAGTTAATCTCATTATGGTTTGATTTACATTTGCCTAATGGCTAAGGATGTTGAGTGTCTTTTCATGTGCTTATTGACCATTTGTATATTGCCTTTGGAAAACATGTCTATTCAAGTCCTTTGTTTTCATTTGGGTTGTCTTTTTATTGTTGAGTTGTAGGAGTTCTTTATATATTCTAGAAATTAAGCCCCTATCAGATACATGTTTTGCAAGTATTTTCTCCCATTCTGTAGGTTGCCTTTTCTAATGTCTTTTGATGCACAACAGTTTTAATTTTAATGAAGTCCAATTTATCTAATTTCTCTTTTTACTCATGTTTTTGGTGTCATAGCTAAAAATAGTTTGCCAAACCCAAGGTCATTAAAATTTGCCTCTTATGTTTCTTCCTAGAACTTTATGGTTTTAGCTCTTAAGGTTTTGGTCCACTTTTAGTTAATTTTTCTACCTTGCAACTATTAAAACAGATGCATCCTGGAGTGCTCTATATGGGACAGACACAAAGGAATGCATATCTTGTCTCAAAGTCACATTTTCGATGCAGACAGTGAGCAACCCCAAAGCATGCGGACAACTGTTCCAGTTACTAATCATAACTTCTCCCATGTACAAAGGAGGGTATTTTAAGGAAATTAACAGCAAATCAGATCCTTGGCACTAGAGAAATAATTCTTAGAAACTCTCAATATTTGTTTTTGGTTCAGCCCTTGGCTATTATCCTCCCCCCAAACTTCTTTATCTGCACAGCTTAACTCTAGTCGATGTTTTCTCCTGTGTAAACATATTGAGTATATATGTACAGAGGCATGGTAGCAGTAACTGGGGAACAGACCCAGGGCAACAAAGTAAGTGAATACTTCCTTTGAAAGGAATAGAGGGGAGTGAGTAAAGCACAAACACATACATGAGAGGAGAAAGGCTTTCTGAAGCAGGATTGGAGCAGGATTAAAACATCCCTGTGTAGCTCAAAGTTAAAAAAAAAAAAAAAACTTTATTGATAACTAACAGTTAGATTAGTGGTTCACAGCCCTGATCAAATATTTAGAATTGCCATGTTAGCTTTTTAAAAATGTCAAGGTGCAGGTGACATCCTAAAGATTCTGATTTAATTGATCTGCATTGGATCTAAGCATCAGTGTTTTTTAAAAGTTCCCTTGGTTATTCTAATGCACAGCCAATATTTGCCCAGCAATAGGAGAGCTGCACGACTTAGTCTTTGAATCATTCAGAGGAATTGACTAATAAAGATACTGTCACAGCAGGCTTCCTAAGAAAGGATCTTTTACAGAGTAATGTTACAGGGTGCTCAAGTGTCCCCACCCATCACACCTTCCTTTGCATAGTAATGTCTAAAATCACTGGAGTCTCACTCCTTTGCCTTGACTCTTTATTTTTTAATTTTCTTTATTTCTGAGATTGCCTCATTTGTCATGTATGCCTTGGAATAAGTGGGCTTATCAGATCATTAGAAAAGCTGGCAATAGGAGGATTGATAATGGAGAGGAGGAGAGCCCTGTGGGGATGGCTTCCCTGATTAACAAAGTTACAGAAGGAAAACTGGGAGATAGCAATGACAGACATTACTCACTTCACAGTTCTGAATGAGCATCGATATGTTATATCTCATTAAATTTTGCTTCTTGTTTGTCAATTTTCTATGGCTCATTTTTATTGGTTATCTCTAAGAAAAAAAATCTAGTTGGTTGACTATCCACCTATAAGAGGCTTGTTTGTTTGTTTTACTTTTATTTGCATTTATTTTATGCAGAATTAACTCCCAGCCCATTAGTTTTTGTGTCTTCACTTTCTTCTGGGATATCTTTTTCTTTTGTGCAACCTCCTCTTCTGGTTTAGAAACAAACAATCTGCTCTTTTTCAATAAGGATCATCTCAGTGTGGCAGGGAGGCTTTGTTCGCCTGGATGTGCTCAATGACAAGAGAATCTACATCTAAACCCTTAAGTTCAGCATTCCTCTCTGCATTTTTAAGCATGTGCAGCAAAAATTCTTTTTTGGGCCACTGGCCCTGTGTCCAGCCCCACTGTTTGGCCTGGGCACACCTACCAACTCCACAACTGTAGCATCGGAATTGAACACATTGCTTCTGCAAATACTTTTCAGATACTTGGTGGCTTTTCAGATATGCATACTCTTGATGGGCTGGGCAGTTTCATGTGTGTTCTTAAAGTGAACATGAATATTTGAGCCTCTTGATTTGCATGATTTTGTCAGCTTGTCTGGGTCAAGTGAATAGTCAACCATTTTCAAAGATCACCTCAGGCAGCTTACAGGAAGAGGAAGTCACCTTTAAGAGTTTTAAAACTGATGGGGCGCCTGGGTGGCGCAGTCGGTTAAGCGTCCGACTTCAGCCAGGTCACAATCTCACGGTCCGTGAGTTCGAGCCCCGTGTCAGGCTCTGGGCTGATGGCTCAGAGCCTGGAGCCTGTTTCCGATTCTGTGCCTCCCTCTCTCTCTGCCCCTCCCCCATTCATGCTCTGTCTCTCTCTGTCCCAAAAATAAATAAAAACGCTGAAAAAAAAAATAAAAAAAAAAAAAACAACTGAGATACCAGAAGTTAAGCATCTTTTCTAATGTTTTATAAATTATTTTCTCTGTGTTTGATGATATATGAGTCCTGACCTGGGATTACTTCCAGAAGAGTGAGTCATCGAAGATACTTGTCACAGCAGAGCTATAGGCAGGAAAAATGCTAAGTGTGCATGTGCTTGTGTTTATATTAGATTAATTCTTATCCTTCCACTCACACATCTTTATCCAGGGATCTGGGTCGAGTACTAATGCCTGCTTTGCACCATCTACTTTGGAATTAGCCAAAATTTGATTTCATGCACAACATAGCTTTTCCTTTAAAAAAACACTCTCTTAATTATTAATATTATTAGCACTTTATTCATTCATTCACTTAGCTATACTGGATGTTGGTAATTTTATGGTGAGGAAAAACAAACAAAATCCCTTCTCTTTTGGAGCTTACAGACTAGAGAGGAAACAAACATTAGTAAATCACTCAGGAAAAGACCTCTAATTTATAACTGTGACACATATGATGAAGAAGACTTACATAGTTCTATTAAAGTATATAACAGGAGAACATGACTGACGTAGTCAGAAGGACAGGAAACATTAAAAGCAGGGGAGTATAGCATGTGCTAAGGTCCTGTGGTGAGAGGGGGTGTAATCTATTGAAGAAACTAAAGGAAGCATAAAGAACTAGAATGTGAAAAGTGAAATAAAAAAGAGTTTCTGGTTTTTATCCTAAGAACAATGAGAAATGCCTCAAGGGTTTTACCTAAAGAAGGACATGATCAGGAATGAGTTTTGAAAAAGAATCATTCATGCTGCAATGGCAAAGACAGACTGGAGAGAGGCAAGGATGATGAAGGTTCTAAGAGTGGTTGGGAAGCTATTGTAATAATCCAAGGTAAGATAGTGAAAGCAGAGACTGTGAGGCAGTAGGAATGGGGGAAGGACATTGAGAAATGGGATGTCCAAATGGTAGATTGAAGAGGGGCTGGGGTGGGAAGGTGAGGAGACTCCCAGGTTTCAGGCTTATATAAATGTATGACTGACTTTGCCATTCAATGTCAGTAAGAATACTGGAAAAGGACCAAGTTTGGGGGAAAGATCATAAATTCCATTTTCAAGTTTTGAACTGGAAATGATTTTAAGGTAAGAATTTTGTATTCAAAACTCATTTGGATTACAGTAGGGTATCCTTCATTCACAGTAATAATAAGAGATGCCTTAACCTTGATCACATTTTGCAAATTAGTAAGTAAATAAACAATTTAAAAGTGCTGTACGTCTTATTGCTGCTTTGCTTTAATTACTAATGACAACCATTTCAAAGTGTGGTAGTAATTTTTTTTGAAACAATGAAGTGTGGTAATAGGAGGCTACACTCTCATACTCCAGCTAGTAAATCTTGGCTGAGGCAAATGTGGGGGGTTGGATGAGTTGGGGGATGGGATAGGGGGCATGTGTGTGTGTGTTTTCTAGAAAGATTTATTGAGCTAACTAAACCAATGAGGTTCATTGGTATTTATGAATGGTTCATTAGTGTGACTATCTGAACGCAAGGTGAATTCACATTAAATGATAAGACTGTCTAATAATTAGTGTGTGCCACTGTTTGGAATTTGTAATTAGAGAGAAGAGACAAAATGAAAGGAAATAGATAAAAGAATAGTTGCTATAAAATTAAAATCCTTTAAAGCCAATTCCATTTCTTTGTGAAGCAAACAAGGTGACGAGGACCAGAAGAATTGAAAATGTATTTCCTCTCTTATTTGGTAATTCAACTTCAGGCTACATCAGGATTTCTGGTTTGTATCCTAAGAACAGTGGAAAATCCCTTATAGGTTTTAGATTTTGATTTTGATTTTTTTGGAAAATCCCTAATAGTTTTAAACTAAAGAGTGACACGATTAGGATCAAGTTCTGAAAGGAATTACCCGGGCACTATTGACATTTGGGGCTGAATAATTCTTTGTTATGAGGGGCTGACCTGTGCGTTATAGAATGCTTAATAGCATCCTTATACCCTACCCACCAGATTCCAATAGCAAAGCTCCCACATCAAGCTGTGACAATCAAAAATGTCTCCAGAGATTATTGAATGCTGCCCTTTGAGAACCATTGGACTAAATCTAGAATGCCTGAGAATGTTGTTTGACAACTATTTTGGGGTCTATTGGCTTTTATAATGTTCCATAAATATTTATTGGGGACCTTCTTTGTTGTGATGTTCAAAAAAAAAGCAACATTTAGTCTCTGCTTTTTAATGAGTTTATGATGATGGGAAAGGATGGGGGACTGACAAATAGAGAAATTAAAGAATGAGGAAGGATGTCATTCCAAAAGGGGATGAGGAAGGATGCTCTCTCAAGTGCAGGCTTCCACACTTGCCTAGAATTATCTTGTAACTGGGATTTTCTGGGTGGTGAAATCTTGAGATCTAACCTATCAATGACCAGGGTTGCCTATGTTCATTGACAAGAGAATATTCAACACAGAATATTCTTTGCATACAGTTTCTCCTGACGTCTCTGCAACATTGCCTGATCCACTATAGCCTTTCTTTTCTATCTCTCTCTCCCCCGACTCCACCTGGCCCTATTAACATGTTTAAATTTCACTGAGCTTTGGTTGTGGATGGGTGGTGTCTTCAACACTACCTGACCTGTGCAGTGGTTATTGTTCCATTTCTCGCTCCATAATGAGTAGCCCTGCCATGCCACAGACATGATTCTCTCATGAGTAAAAATCAGCCCTCACTGCAAAATCCCATAGCCTTCTTTTTGTGTCCCATTGACAGTGCTGGCCACCGTCCCACCTATTTCTCCTCCCTAGGTTTCTTTGGTCCTGCCCTTGCTTCTTTCCCAACTGGGCTCATTTTTTTCTTTTCTGGCTCTTCCTCGTGGACTTACAAACCACATAGCTAACTCAAGTAATTAGTGAATTTAAGTCCCTGTTGTGGTTTGATTTCCCAGTATTCCCCTCTCACTTAAAGTGAGGAAATGTATTTGTAAATAAAATTGAACTAAGCTATTAATTGCTACCTACAGGATTTTTAAAAATTAAAACCACATTACAGGCTGGCTCCTTTTTAAAAGGAATACTGTTTTTCATTGAGCAAAAGACATCGTTCTGATACCTTACAGAACAAAACACATCCTTGTTTCTGTTCCTGCCTGATATAAATGCATGCAAGATATTGACTTACCCTAAAAGCTGGTCTTCTGTTTTACTCTCCTATCTTTGGAGCAGCTCAAAGAAAAAAAAATGAGTCATTTCTGCTCAAGAAAATTATAAAGAATTCTAAAGACTGATCCTCAGTGTCTTTGGAAGGTTTTTAACTCATTAAGAAAAATATGGAAATGAATGCTTTTTTGGACATTTTTTTAAAGTGCCTTTTGGTGAAAATCCCCAAAGACCCAAGGGATTGGAAGAACTGGACATCAGCTCAAGATTTCTGTGTTGAAGAAGGGGGCACACTGGTCGCCATTGAAAATGAGGTGGAGCAAGGTAGAGTATTCAATATTCAGTCGGGCAAAAATAACCATTTTTATTTCAATATCTATTAAAATGGGGGCACCTGAGTGGCTCAGTTGGTTAAGCGTCCAACTCTTGATTTCAGCTCAGGTCATGATCTCACAGTTTGTAAGATAGAGCCCTGGATCTGGCTCTGTGCTAACAGTGCTTGGGATTCTCTCTCCCCCTGTCTCTCTACCCCTCCCCCACTCGCTTTTTCTCTCTCAAAATAAATAAATAAACTTTAAAAATGTCCCCCCAGGGGCGCCTGGGTGGCTCAGTCGGTTAAGCGGCTGACTTCGGCTCAGGTCATGATCTCGAGGTCCATGAGTTCGAGCCCCACGTCGGGCTCTGTGCTGACAGCTCGGAGCCTGGAGCCTGTTTCGGATTCTGTGTCTCCCCCTCTCTCTGACCCTCCCCCATTCATGCTCTGTCTCTCTCTGTCTCAAAAATAAATAAACGTTGAAAAAAAATTAAAAAAAAAATTAAAAAAAAAAATGTCCCCCCAAAATGCTAACATTTCCAAATCAACATCATATGTATTATATAGCTGATGACACATACATTTTCAGTTTGACCTATAAGGTTTATATCATGACATCTGTAAAAGTTAGTACATTGCATTGCTTATAAACTGCTGATTTTTGAAGACTTTTGTCTCCCCAGTAATAGTGGAAAAAATAGGGCAGATTTATGATCTTTATTGCAAAATGGCTGAAATAATCTGAGGTACACTCTATAATAACTGCATGGTATAATTTTTAGATCCCTTTAGATTTACCTGTACACCTTTATTTGATATTTAGGCAATTGTATACTTCAGTTTAAGTAGAGTTGATAAATCTTCTTTTGTTTAGAAAGGCATTGAATGAACACTGGAAATAGTTTTGTTAATGATATGATGAAATCCCAGGCTTAGCTAGCTAATGTCTATCAATTAAACTGAAACAAAAGTGAAAGAGACTGCATTACCTTAGTAAGAACAAATTCCTACAATTGATTCATAATTAAGTTTTGCTGTCATTTAAATAAAATCATAGCTACAAACAGAATTCGATGATTACCCAAATGGTTTATATGGTATTAAATTTGATAATGTATTTCTATTTTTTAGCTTTCATTACTATGAATCTTTTTGGCCAGACCACTAATGTGTGGATAGGGTTACAAAATGGTAATTATGAAAAATGGCTAAATGGAAAGTCTGTGGCATATTCTAACTGGTCTCCATTTGATATAAATGTAAGTTTTCAGATTTAATTTTTAGAAAAAATTTTAGCAAGAGATCCTATTTAATACTTAGTAAAGTGTTCTTTTACTTCCTATACTTTATAGGCATAAATTTTATTAGTCTGTTATTATATTAATTTTTAATAATGTAATTATGTCATTTTCATGTGTTCTATAAATGATATTACTTATCACAATAATTATTTACTTGTCAGGTTATGAAGTGATCTGTGAACAGGTTTATTAAATGCAAATAAAGGGATAATAGTGCTTGAATTTTTAAATTGTCCTTAATAAAAATTTCAGTGTTATAATAATGTTATATGTTTCCATTTTTTTTTGGAAAACATATGTATCTTTTTAAAGATTCCAAGTCATAACATCACTGAAGTTCAAAAACACATTCCTCTCTGTGCCTTGCTGTCGAGTAATCCTAATTTTCATTTCACTGGAAAATGGTATTTTGAAGACTGTGGAAAAGAAGGTCATGGGTTTGTTTGTGAAAAAATGCAGGGTAAGAAATATTTGCTTTTTTATTCCTTTCATCTCTATGACCCACTCTTCTCTTCCATATTTGTTTTACACACTGTATAACCGTCATTTTCATAGCTAACAGTGTCAGGCACTTACTTTTTGAGCTTTATATATATTTGCTCATTTAATCTCTACTACCCCAGGATTATGGCCTTTAGTGGGATTCTAAAGACTACAGAGACCATCTGAGAGATGACCAAGTTTATGCATCCATTTTAGCCCTATTAAGTGGCTTTACTGCTTTCTTCTAAGTTTATGTGTGTGTTCAGGGAATAAAAAAGGCTTTAAGAAAATGTTGTTAAATAAAGAAATAAACAAACTAATATTTCCTACTTTCTTGGAAACCTAAAAATGCCCTCTGTGACTAAATATGACATGTAGCATGTCTCTAGAGCTAATGATCAGAACCCCCCAGTAACTTTTGGTGTGAAATACAAAAGCCATACTATTACACGTAGTCAGTGGGGTTGATGATCAGGTCAAATGCACTGTAAGTGACCTTGACTAATAAAAATAAAAATAGCAACAAAAAAAAACAATAGCTCCAACTTGTGCTTTCACCAAGTGCAAGGTTTCCCTGTATGATGCTACTCTAGAAGACCACAGTTTGTGTTTGGAGCTGGGTGCAACTCTGGGCAGCCTGTTGTTTATATACTTACTTGGAATATGATTTATACCTCTTAGTGTTGCATGTATGTGAACACTTTAATGCACTGAGTATCTATCCATCCTCAGAATAGCCCAGGGAAGCTATTTCCCAATTCACAGTTATCACTTAAAAATAATAATATTCAGGAATTGAAAGAAGATAATCAATTATAGCAAGAGTATTATGAGAAGAGAAGAGTCTTGTAGGGAAAGAAATAATATCAATACGCCATGTATTTGCATACTTATGATATACCTGGCCCTGTGCCTTGGCTTCATAAGCAATAAGGCATAAAAACCTCCCAACAATGCTAGGAAGTAGGTAAAAAGTATTATTTTACAGATGAGAAACTTGAGGCTTAGAAAAAATAAATTACATATTCAAGGTCACTCAGTTAAATACAATGATTCTATTCTGTGACACTGATGTTGATCTCTTCTTAAAATGGACTGTTCTCTTACCACTTTCTCTCTTTGAAATTTTTTGGGCTAACATTGTATATGGTCTTTTGGACATAGTCTAAAGTAGGGGTGGTTGGGAGCAAGCATAGGCATTGGAATTCATACCCCACCTGGGTTCTTTCCCCATCTCTGTAATTAAGTGTCAATGAAGTTTCTTATCTTTTTACAGATGTGACTTCACATCTGTAAAATGGGATAATAACTATCTCACTCTATGCACATACAGAGTCTATGCATATATAATGCTTAGCATGTTGCCAGCATATTAACAAATGACAGCTGTTTATATTATTATTTCCAAAAAATATTATTCAACTACACAAATTCTCTTAGCCTACAATAAATGACCAAATTCTGCTCCACTTCTTTATTTGCCATATAAACAGCTGCTTACATTGGGCTTAGAGCGCAAACTCTCTTAACTGCCTGAAAGAATAAAATTACCTAAATAAAAGGGAGACAGGAACAAAATCAAGACCCCCAATATGGGGCTTGGTTTCCAACAGATCCTTCTTTTTCAGGTCAATGAGTGGCAAAATCATGTTGCTCAAAATCACGTATGTTTTGAAGTTTGATGGAATCAATTACATATGAAGAATTTTATGTGTGTAAAAATACAGATATGTAATATAATGGGGGTAAATAGTAAAATTGTATTTAGGTCACATATATGAAAATATTTAGTTGCCTTAATTTTACTAGTTATTTTTAAATATCTACTATGGTATTATATTGTTTTTTTAAAAAAAATAACATTAGACTTGGTATATAGACTGGCAAGTGGCCAACAGACCTCTAGTAAAGAATAAACAAATATAAAAGTGTAGTCCATCATAATTTACTTGGTAAATAGGTTAATTTCACTTTTGTTTTCAATATGTGCTATTATTATATTGAGGTAACATTTTCAGGTAAGAGTCAAATTCCCACTTTGCCATTTTTACTTGGCATAAAGAACCAACATTTATTGAGCACCTGCTTTGTTCTGGGTACTACATTCCAAGTACTGTGTTCTAGTAAGTGCTCTGTGTGTTATCTCTGAATTCTACCCACACCCCTCCAAGGAAAGCTTTACTTATCTCTTAAAGACCAGAAATTTGAGGCTTGGAGAGATTACTTGTTTTTCCAAGGTCACTTAGCCATGCATAGTCAGGACTGGGGTTGATTCACAAGTCTTCTGACCTATTCACACCTCACCATGTTCCTTTTCAACCCCAATTGTAATAAAACCAGTAAATAGAAAAATATTCCAGCCACTTTGGATAAGACAGTTCAGAAATTCTTACCTTGTTTTTCTATTTTAGGTTTGTAAATTTAGCCTATCATAGTACACGATATAGTACAGAACAAAAAGGCAAGTGCACATTTTAAAGAGGAAATATCCTGGATGTAAAACAAGGGGTTGGCTGTCACATGACCTGTCGCTCATGAACAAGAAGGCACCAGTCATCATGTCTGGGAAAACCTTGCCTTTTAATTTGTAAATCTTGACTCTGACAGATGACATATTAATAGAAACTATTTATAGAATGTGTGTATTCTGTTTATTAATGTAGTTTTTAAGTTTCTATTTAGAATTTATACATGTAAACATTAAACATGATAGCAACTATCATATAATCTCAAGTTTAATAAAGGGTGGTATTTGATTTAAAAAAGGGGGGTGCCTGGGTGGCTCAGTTGGTTAAGTGACTGACTTTGGCTAAGGTCATGATCTCACAGTTGGTGGGTTCAAGCCCCTTACTGGGTTCTGTGCTCACAGCTCAAAGTCTGGAGCCTGCTTCATATTCTGTGTCTCCCTCTCTCTCTGCCCCTCACCTGCTCATGCTCTGTTTCTCAAAAATAAATAAACATTAAAAAAATTATTTAAAAAAGGGTGGTATTTGAGAATATGTACTTGTAAAATTATGTTTGCAACACCATATGTGACTCCATAATATATGTCAATATTCTCTTAGTAAGTATTAAGTTCCGCCAGAGCAATGTGTGTTGGGCCGGGTGTAACTAGTGGAATAAAACCTGTCTGGGGCATCCTAAAAGAGGGCATCTTTTGGGATGAGCACTGGGTGTTGTATGGAAACCAATTTGACAATAAATTTCATATATTAAAAAAAAAAGGAAAAAAAAAGAATGAAATCTTGCCATTTGCAATGACATGGATGGAGCTAGAATGTATTATGCTAAGCGAAATAAGTCAATCAAAGAAAGACAAATACTGTATGATTTCACTCATATGTGGAATTTAAGAAACAGAACAGATGAACATATGGAAGGTGGGGGTAGGGGAACAAGAGGAGAGAGGGAAACAAACCACAAGAGACTCTTAATGATAGAGAACAAACTGAGGGTTGATGGAGTGACGTGGGTGGGAGAAGGGCTAGATGGATTAAGGTATTAAGCTATATAAGGTATTAAGGAGGGACCTTGTTATGATGAGCACTGGGTGTTGTATGTAAATGATGAATTACTGAATTCTACTCCAGAAACCAATGTCGCGCTCTATGTTAACTAAATTTAAATTTTAAAAAAAGGAGAAAAAGGGAGTAAAAAATGGGAAATCTTCTAGAAATCTCCTCTATGTATGTTTGTTTGTTTTTTGTTTTTTTTTTTTTTAAGAAACTCATGCATTAAACTTCCTAAGTTCTCATTCTTTAGCATCACCTATGCTTTCAGGTATTACCCTCATTTTGAAATAGTTCTGGGAAGGAAAACTGATGTTCATCACAGCATGGATCATTATGACATGGATCCATGCTAAGCTTTGCCTCTCCCTTTCTCAACCGGATGCTAAAAATGATTGTTGTTGTTGTTCTTGTTCTAGATACCTCTGGACACAGTGTAAATACATCTGATATGTATCCAGTCCCCAATACCTTAGAATATGGAAACAGAACTTATAAGATAATTAATGCAAATATGACTTGGTATACAGCAATAAAAACCTGCCTAATGCATGGAGCAGAATTGGCCAGCATTACAGATCAGTATCACCAGTCCTTCCTCACTGTTATCCTCAACCGGTTAGGACATCCCCACTGGATTGGATTGTTCACTGCAGATGTAAGTATCTTAAATCTCTTGGAACATCCCTGCATAACTAAGTTTCACATCTACTTCCTTAGTGGTATGGACACTGAAATTAACACAGAGAAAAAAAATTCCAAGAAATAATAGCAAATGTAACATTTAAGTAATTGGTTTATACAACAACTATGACCAACCTTAGAATAGCTTATGACTACAAATTAAAGGTATAGACCTTTTTTAGAACAAACATCCACTTGCCTAATCTATGGAAAATAATGCCCTTCAAAGGTTCTCTGAAATTTTCTGACTATCTCTAGATACTGCCTCATGTGGGCAGTGGAACACATCTTAAACTCAAACAGCTGCATTTGGGCAATCTGCATTTAAGAAATTATCAGGAAAAATGGATCATGCTTCCTGTCTAGAAATGTGGTTATTAATTAATTCAGTACCACCTTGGAATTTAACACGTGGGTTTTCTCTCCCTCTAGGGATGTATTTTGGAGAGTAAGATTTTTTTCTTAGTTTTCTTTCTTTTTTAAATAAAACTATTATACACTTGCAGTAGTAAAAAGTAAACTCTATTCTGTCTCAACCTCTGGTTCTGTACCCCAGAGATAATCACTGTAAATATTTCTTATGCATCATTTAAAAATTTCCTACACATATTTACATAATGGGTAAATATGTATATTGTTTTTTAAATACAAATGAGGTTATACTACTTGTGCTGTCCTTTAACTTGTTTTTTGTTTAATATTCCTTGTACAGCTTTCCATGTCAGCACATAAAAATCTAACACATTCTTTGCAGCACCACATAAAGATATACCATACCACTCTCCTGTGAATAGAAATTTGGGTTCTTCCCAGTTTTTCACAATTACAAGTAACACACAACAAACAACCCGTGTAAGTTGGATAAATTCCTAGAAGTTAAATTGCTGAGCACACTTTACATTTTAAGAAATAGTGCCATACTGCCTGCCAAAAGTTTACACTAATTTACATGCAAACAACTATGATAACAGGTAGTTTTTCATATCCTTGTCAATACTGGACACTGTCAAAATTTTAATCCTTGTCATTGGGATAGGTGAGAGAATGGTGTCTTATGGTTGTTTATTATATTTGTGCATTACAGAATGATTTAACTTCACGTAGTCAATTTTGCATTATGGCCTCTGGATTTTGTATCAGACTTGAAAAGATATTCCCCGCACCAAGAGTATAAAATATTTAGCCAAGTTTTCTCTAGCACTTTTATGTTTCCAATTCATATGTATGAATCTTTGACCAATCTGAAATTGGTTTTGGTGTAAAGAACAAGATATTAATCCAACTTCATTCTGATTGCTTACTTGGAAATTATGGTGGTAGGGAACAAAGGATTACCCAAAACTAAAAAAGATACTGTTGTGACAGCTATTTCTTTTTGTCAGGCCACATTCACAAGCTATCCTAGACCCCCTGAAATAGAAGTCTAGATGTGGAAATACAAATCAGTGCGTGAAGTAAGGGCTGCTCAAATAGCACTGGGTGATGCAGTGCTAGCAAAGAAATTATGGCTTCATTTCCCTCCACAGAATGGTCTTAATTTTGACTGGTCAGATGGCACCAAATCCTCCTTCACTTTTTGGAAAGATGATGAGTCATCCATCTTGGGTGACTGTGTTTTTGCCGACACCAGTGGACGCTGGAGTAGCACAGCCTGCGAGTCATTTCTGCAAGGAGCAATTTGTCATGTACCTACTGGTAGGTTCAATTCTATTCAACTCAACAAAAATGTACTGGCACCTACTGTGTGTAAGGCACTGTGCTAAGCAGGAGCTTTGAGTAAGGGTAAGAAGTGTCTGCCCTCAAGAAGCCTCTGGTCTGGTAGGTGATGTTCAGACAAATAACTGTTACACCAAGCAGAACTACCAAATGATGGAAAAGAGGTAGTAAGTGTTGTGGGGTTAGCAAGAAAAAAGAACATAACACATCCACTTGAGGACAAGTAGAAAGACTTCTTGAAGGACATAACTATGTGACTGGCCTTGAAGAATAGGTAGGATGTAGTGAGAAAATGATTGGACATGGAGAGGCAGTCTGAACAGAAAAGCTTGGACAGGGCATCTGGGTGGCTTAGTCAGTTAAGCATCTGACTTCGGCTCAGGTCACCACCTGACCACCTGGTTCGTGAGTTAGAGCCCCGCGTTGGGCTCTGTGCTGACAGCTCAGAGCATGGAGCCTTCTTCAGATTCTGTGTCTCCTTCTCTCTCTGCCCCTCCCGCACTCACTCTGTGTGCGTGTGTGTGTGTGTGTGTGTGTGTCAGAAATAAGTAAATGTTAAAAAAGAAAAGAAAAGAAAAGCTTGGACAAAGACTTGGAAGGAAGAAAGGTGTAAAGCAAAGCTAGTCTTGAAATTTGCCTTCATGGCAGTGTACCAGTAAGGAGAGGTGGGAAATCAGGCTAGAAACCTGCATTAAGAGCATGTGTGACCTTGAAGGCCAGACTGCAAATTCACGTTTAAGTCAAAGACTAATAAAATTCTAGAGATGATGACGATGATGATAGTAATAATATTTATATTATATGATAACAATGATAATAATACCTCATTACTCTTAAAGCTCACCTGGCTCTCCCAGTTGAGCCAGGTGAACTTTATTTTAAACAGAAAACAAACTCAGAGCATGAAATAGCTTACTGAAGATCTCACAGATGTCCACCAATAGGACCAGGAGGAGAAGCCAAGCTTCCTTGCTCTTTGATGTGATGTTCATCCCATTACACCAAGTCCCCCTTCCCTTGATTGCTACGTAGAGTTCTTTAACACCAGCTGGTGTCTTTTAAAATCGCTCATTTAGTAAAAGTGCACATATTTGCTTACATTCTGGATACTATAAGTTAAACAGCATACACACTATGTAACTTCGGATCAAAATAATTCAGGATAATAATGTAAATAATAGCCACATACACTGGAAAAGCTAATTCTGCTACTAAAACACCATAAAAATTATTCTTCCCTTTTCAATAGCACTGCATTTATTGAGTGCTTAAGAAGTGTCAGGCACTAGCTCATTTAAACTCCTCACACAGCAGCACCTGACTAGGTCATTTGGTAGAGCATGTGACTTTAGATCTCAGGGTCATGAGTTTGAGTCCCTTGGTGGGTGTAGAGATTACTTAGAAGGGAAAAATAAAAACAAATAAATAAACTTCTCATGTAAAAAAGATGTTGTTTAACTCTCTTTTATAACTTTTAAAAAAATGTTTATTTTGAGAGAGAGAAAGAAAGCACAAGTAGGGGAGGGGAAGAGGGGGGTGCACAGAGAGAGAAAATCTGAAGCAGGCTCTACCTCAAGAGTGGAGCCCAGTGCAGAACTTGATCTCACAACTGTAAGATCATGACCTGAGCTGAAATCAAGAGTCGGACACTTAACCAACTGAGCCACCCAGGTGTCCTATTGGCTCTCTTTTTATTGATAAAGAAACCAAAGTATGAATATGATAGGTAACATGCCCATAGCCATACACCTAGGATCTCATCATGGATGTGACCTCTAAAGCAAAGTCTACCTGATATTTCCCTTAGTTATGTGTTATGTTTTGCTATGCTATGTTACTTTACCAAATGCATTATTTTCTCTCACAGGTTGATTGGCAGGTAAGGATTCGCTAAATCTGTAATATTTAGCACTGCATAGAACACATTTTGTACATTTGGAAGTGCTTTTTGCCAACTTCATTCATTTCTATGAATCACATCCCCCAGTTTTTCCAACCTTTAGGATACCAATTATAAACATGAAAGACAGCCACCCTCACCCATGCAGCACCCAAACTAAGCCTAAGAAGCTATGCATGAATATACCCTGTTATGTGTAGGTAAAGATTATTTCTGCCAGAAATGCTACAAACCGGATTTGGTTTTCTGATCATTTATATTAAACCCACTCTTTCAGAGTATTATCATGAAAATCTCATTACACTATTTATCTTAGTCTGTCATAGAATTTAATGCAATGTTTATCCCAATAAATGAACCCAGTCACCACCCTAAAATCATAACTGATTTTTGTTCACAGAAACAAAACCATTTGGACACCCAGAGTTGTGCTCAGAAACATCTATTCCCTGGATAAAATTCAAAAGTAATTGCTACAGTTTTTCTACAGTCCTAGACAGTACGAGTTTTGAGGCTGCTCATGAATTTTGCAAAAAGGAAGGTAATTCTTTTGTGATGGTAAAATGCTTTCAATGCATTCCTTCTTGACGTTTCAGTAAACAATGTGGTTTTCTTCATTTGTCTGATTATTTAGTGACTTTAGGAGCAACAACAAAAAAAAGTAAATACTTTTGAATTGCTTGTTTGGGGATGGACTATCTATGAAATTCAGTGTCCGGTATAGAATGTGAAAACCTAATATGATATCTCAGGATACTACACTTTCACAGAAAATGTTCCTTTTGAATTATAAACTGAATTATAAACTTTTATATAATTCCACCTGAATTATAAACTTTTAATGTTCTCTAAAATTAATATCCTATCCTTTAGCTTCTTAAGTACATGCTTGTCTCTTTTAATAAATGTAGTATAATTTTTAAATTTTTAATCAAAAATCACTTATTCACAATAGAAATGTTTGCTCTGCAAAGACTGAGTTTTACAAATTATTCTAAAGGAGACATTTTTAAAATTGAATTTACCCATAAACACAAATACTTGTTTATTTATTGTTTGTGTCTTTTATAGGATCTAATCTTTTAACAATCAAGGATGAGACTGAAAATTCATTTCTCCTAGAAGAGCTTTTTGCTTTTGGTTCTTCTGTCCAGATGGTTTGGTTGAATGCTCACTTTGATGGTGACAGTAAGTGATTTGGGTAAAGAGGAGACAGGATAAATAAATACATGGTGGCCAAGGCTAATGAAAATGACATCTACAAACCAGAAGGCTCTCCTTAGATATATTTGCAGTGAAAAAATAGCAGTAATCCAAAAGCCATTTCCTCCAAAGGCAATATTGCTAACCCTTTTCTATACCCTTGTGTCCTTTGAAATAATCCCAGAATACCAAACATAAAAACAAGCAAACAAGTTTATCTTATACTTACCCTCACATCATGAAGGTTCTTGGAGAGAAATTTGTGTTCACACACTTAGTCATAGACAACAAAACCCTATTTATTTGAAAATAGCCCAGATTCCTCGATGTTATAAAAGCACAACAGAGTTATTTATAGAAACATTTCAGTGATGAATTGTGCTTTTAGAATTATTTGCTTCTCATAAAAACCAGGGTCTGTGATCAAATGAGAACGTGGTATTCTTTTCTCTATGTAATTGGTGGTTATTGAAAGTACTTATAAAGAAAAATATTTTAATTGGTACGGAGAACTTCTTACAGTGGTGCCCCAAGGTGGAGGGTGGGTTCACTTTTACAAGGAGGAGTGTTTCAATCACAGACATTGTTTAGAATTTCTAGCCCATTGTGGTAATAAAAAGCTGACCGACTTTTAGGTACTTTTATTGTTGGTTTTAAATCCTTTTCAGACAATGCGTCTCCTCTTATTGCTTACACCTGGAGGACTCTACCACTGTCCCCACCCCCTCAGTCCCCACTGGCTTGCTTCTTAAAGAAATTCATTGTAAAATTATTTTAGAAAGAGAGTCATTATGCAATGATATAGATGGTAGGACTTCAAATGATGTCTTTAAATTGATTACAATTATAGGGAATATTTCAAAATTCAAACTATTACGTTAAAAAAAAAGATGATATTTGGGGCACCTGGGTGGCTCAGTTGGTTGGGCATCTGACTTTGGCTCAGGTCATGATCTCACAGTTCGTGGGTTCGGGCCCCACATCAGCACAGAGCCTGGAGCCTGCTTCACATTCTGGTCTCCCTTTCTCTGCCCCTTCCCTGCTTGTTCTCTCTCTCTCTCTCTCTGTCTCTGTCTCTCTCTCTCTCAAAAATAAATAAACATTAAAAAAAATTTTTAAGATGATATTCTAAATGAACTAAATTAGAACAATGTATCTAAAATAAATAGAGAGCTGTTCACAAAGCAACTTTACTAATACCTACCTTTTGATAATGACTTCATGACTGTACCTACTGAGTCGAATGTATCAGATAAAGAGACAGTCTCATTAAATTTAGGAGCTGCTTTTTTCAGAAAGAGAGAGAGAGAGAGAGTGTGCGCACGAGCAAATGGGGGAGGGGAGAGAGAGAGGATATTAAGCAGGCTCCACACCCAGCGCAGAGCCCAATGCAGGGCTCGATCTCACAACTGTGAGATCATGACCTCCCCTGAAATCAAGAGTTGGATGCTTAACCACCTGAGCCACCCAGATGCCCCAAGAACTGCTTTTTATGGTTCATTCCAGTCTTAGTATATTTGATAATCATACATATAAGTCATAGTAAGTCAACAATTTTTCTACAGATGAAACCGTAAAGTGGTTTGATGGAACTCCCACAGACCAGTCGAACTGGGGCATTCGGAAGCCAGAGACGGACCATGTCAAACCCCATCTGTGTATTGCCCTGAGGATCCCCGAAGGAGTGTGGCAGTTATCTCCATGTCAAGAAAAAAAAGGATTTATATGCAAAATGGAAGCAGGTGGGTAAAGTCAGAGGATAATTCTTCACTTTGATTCTACCCTGACTAATGTTGACCCATCTCTTTAGCATTTCAAGCGTTGAAAATGCAAGTATTCGGGGAATATTCAGATTCTGACATTATCATCTTGTTCTACATCAAACAAGTCAGAGGACATTTCAGCTCCTTCTTCCTCTGATATCAACAAAAAATCATTATAAAGACTATGACTTTCCTGTGTCATCCTCCTTGTTCAACTAATGTGCAAAAAGCAGTTTAAGCTCAAGCGAATGGAACTAGAAATGTTAAAAGCAACTGCTACTCAGAAATGTTAAGGTTCATCTTCGGTCCCAGGAAATATAATCAAGGCCTAGGTATTCTTGTTGTGGATTAACGGATGGGATTCTCTGTTGCTAGCCATAATATGTTATAAAAGTCATATTCTAACTTCATTGCGAGCTACATAGTTTGTGGTGATAAAAAGAAATAATAATTTTAGAAATCTAAGCCAGAAAATTCCAGTCAGTTGCCAATAATACAGAGATTTCTAAGACAGGATGTTAACAATGAACATTAACAGTGGAAAGGTGTTTTTAATAATAATCACAACATTTCTAGATGTCAGTGTTGCAGAGAAGGAGGAACCTGCTGCTGAAGATTTCAGAGAGGAGATAAGGTTTTGGAATCCCAAAAGATGAAGAGAATAGAGGAGGGAAGGCATATTAGACAAAAGTCCCAGCATGACTAAAGCCAGTGATTGAGAATGAGCTCAGATTGGAGCAAAAGGCTCATATTAGGTGGTGATGAGAATAAAACTGGACAGTAATGTAGGATCTATTCACAGAGAGTATCTCTCTGTGATACTGTGAGAGTATCAGTTTAGAGAGCTGAACTTCATGGTGAACCTGACAGGGAAGCCCTATGTGCTCTGTAGACACTTGCAGTGGAATCACACTCATCTGGATATAAAGGGAGGCAGTTGTGATTTGAGTGACAGAACAAGGAACACGAGGAAGAATAGAAATAGGAAAAGAGAATCATCAGGATTTGGTGATCTGATTAGAGACTGGGTGGGAATGAAGGAGAAAAAACTGGAAGATGTCGGCACCAACATTCAAGCCCTAATAGTGTGGAAAACAGGACTGAGCCTAATAAGTAGTGTGCCCAAGTGATCAATAGCATTTAAGTATCAAAAACAAATCAGAAACACCTTGCGTCTATGCAAGACTTTAAAGCTTCCTGTAATATATAGGATACCTCTTTCGTCCCTCATAGCAATTTTTTTTTAATTTTTTTTAATGTTTGTTTTTGAGACAGAGGGAGACAGAGCGTGAGTAGGGGAGGGGCAGAGAGAGAGGGAGACACAGAATCTGAAGCAGGCTCCAGGCTCTGAGCTGTCAGCACAGAGCCTGATGCGGGGCTTGAACCCATGAACCGTGAGATCATGACCTGAGCCGAAGTTGGACGCTCAACCAACTGAGCCACCCAGGCGCCCCCCTCATAGCAATTTTTAAAGCAGTGAAGCAGATACAATATTCCCATTTTACAGATGAGAAATGTACTTGATCAAACTGAAGCCCACAGTCCAAGTTTTTTGACTCTACATGGTCCTTCCATATCTGCCTACTGCATGCATCTTGAGAATAAATATTCTTTTAACAGCTTCTCTTTAAAAAGTATCTTCACATGGGACACCTGGGTGGCTCAGTTGGTTAAGCATCTGATTTTGGTTCAGCTCATGATCTCACCGTTAGTGAATTAGAGTCCCATGTTGGGCTCTGTGCTGACAGCTCAGAGCCTGGAGCCTGCTTTGGATTCTGTGTCTTCCTCTCTCTGCCCCTCCCCTGCTCGCACACGTGCCCACTCTCTCTCAAAAAGAAACCAACATTAAAAGCTAAAAATAAAAAAAATAACAATAACTCTAAAGTTTCTTCACACACATATATGTTTTTAATAGTATGATGAAAAATTATATAGTATTATTTTTAAATTGCAAAACAGGTTTTGTTAATGTGGTTTTGCTGTTGGTGACAATGTTAATGTTTTAAGTGTGTAAGGATGAATGGGCCTAAGGACTGCACCAAGGCACTTTCTCCACTCACAAATCATTTACTGATCTTTCTCTGGGTCATTCTCTACCTATTTCTCTGGATCTTTACCTAGAGGAAAAAGAGTCTACTTGAAAGAGATACATTTTTACTGTAGAAAGTCGTCAAATGGGAACCCTCCAACTTTTTGAGTGGAAGAGCTATTTTTTATTAATTTTTCAAGATTCTTAAGATTGCAAAGGTGAGAAAGTGCTGAGTTTAGAATCCTTCCCTGGAGGTAAAGAGATTATCATTGCTGGACAAACTCCATCTCATAGCTTAACAAAACTGAGTTCCTTGCAGGCAGGGACTATATTTTATTCATATTTTTATTGTAGCATAGTGCTGAGACTAGATGGAAAATTTTCAGCTTAAAAAAAAGAGCAGTGTATGTGTTTGTGAGCAATAATAATGATTATAATAAATCAGGGGTCAGCAAAATTTTCTTGTAAAGGGCCAGACAATAAATAGTTTAGACTTTGGGGGCCATATAGTCTCTGTCACGCTGCCACTGTAGCATGAAAGCCGCCAAAGACAATACATAAATGGATGAGTGTGACTGAGTTCCAATAAAACATTATTTATAAAAACAGGCACCAGATCTGATCCATGAGCCATAGTTTGTTGAACTCTGCTACAAATAATAACATAATTTTGCTGAATTAAAAGAAAATTTTAATCTCAGGTGGGTTTTTTTTTGTGTTTGTTTTTAGATATTCACACAATAAAGGAGCACTCAAGAAAAGGTAGGTTTGAACATTTTTTGATGTCTCTTAGAAATAATAAAATAGAAAGTAACTGTGTGGCAGTATCTATCTTAATTCATTGTCATTGAACCCTTCCTTCTTTTCATCTTCTTTCAGGACCAAGTCACAGCATTGTACCTCTTGCGGTAGCACTGACACTGGTAGTAATTCTGACAATTTCTGCACTTTCCTTCTGTATATACAAGCACAACAGAGGTATCTTCAGGAGACTTGCAGGGTTTGGGAATCCTTACTATCCTACAACCAACTTTAGTACAGTACATTTGGAAGAAAACATTCTCATTTCTGATCTTGAGAAGAATGACCAATAACAATGAGTCCAGAAAATGCCACAGCCATGAGGATAATAAGAAAAGACTATAAGGGGAGTCTCCCCTCATTTTCCTTACAGACCAGATGCCGCTATAATGTAAATTGTGTCACTATTTAATCACTCTTAAAGTGATTACTGGTTTTGAACTGTAACCAAATCAGATGTGTGTTGAATTACTCATTTCCCCAAACTGTGATCTATTCTTAAAAAGGGGAAGTTATACAATGGCTACTATTCAGAAAACAAGAACTATTAAAAATAATTCCCTCTTCAAGACTCTCAAACCAATGTGAATGGCTTACTGAAACTTTAAAAGAATTTTTAGCCTAATCTGGCATCTATTCAGACATTTACCCATACTCATTCCATTAAAAGAGAGAGAGGGGAAGTAAAACAAATTTCAAAATTCTAGACCTTGTACAAGACAAAAAGTTAAAGGCTTCTGAGAAGTTTTCTTGTTGGTTTTTTAACTCAATCATTTTAACACAGGATTTAGAAAACTAATTTCTAAGCTTAAAACTCACACATTCTGGGCTCTAAACTAATATTTACAGTGTTATTTGTTTTTATTAATTCTGAGTTCTCAAACTAAAAAAGAAAAATTACCTGTCTTTAAATAGGAAAGACCTTGGTTAGCAGCACACTTTCATAAGCAACCACATAATGTGGCTTAAAATCTTCAATTACTGAATGATGACTACATTTGATGTTTAAATATATAGATAAACTTAAAGGAATTTATCAAAATCTTACTATTGTTAAAACTCATGGTTTTTATTGAAAACTAAATGTTAAAATAATATATAACTCTCTTAACAATTGAAAGATGTAAAACATAATGTGATTTTAAAGGGGAAAAAATGAAGATCTGAATTACAGTCCCATTAGCACCACAATATAGGATATATTGAGAAGTACTAAATAAATTAGTCTCCAATCATAATCTAGATACCTTTGTTATATAAATGAGTTTATTTGGGGTATTCTATTTAGTAAATTATGGTTCTTAAGAACCATCTCTGTGTTGGACTAGTTAGTGTAGTTGATAAATTATGGTTAATAGCATAACACTGTAAATTAAATATCACAGATTTGACTTTCCTACATGAATTTATGATATGGAAAAGTGCCTTCATAATCAACATTTAAAAGTTTACTGATTACATCAATGTTTATTGCATTCCTACTAAGAATCAAGTACCATTCTAGAAACTAGACATATTGTGGTGAGCAAATTAATGCGAACTCTTGTTTTTATGTCACTTATTTTCTGAGAAAAAAGTGAGAGCAAGCCAGTAAAGAAATGCATAAGTACAAAATTCCAGGTGGTTATGAAAATTAAGTAAGGTCTTGTGATAGAGAGGAACTAGGGGAATCTCAGGGCCTCCCCTGAAGGTGCATTTTAATTATAACATCCAGTTGCCTTGAAACTAACTAGTAGCCACTAGTCATGAGGTGGAGCTCCAGGAGAAAGTGTGAGTGAATTGCTAAGTGAAAAACCATCATCATTAGAAATGTAATTTAATGAGCATACCCTAAGAATGGAGTCCTTGTGGCCTGAAACAATTAATACAGCTTCCAAAAGCAGCTCTTTGTTACCACTGTGTAACTTACACATTAGGACAATCTACTTCCATAATTTTTTTAAGTTTTAAGACTTCATTTTTTAAAGGATATTATATTGTGTGGCGGTTGAATATTTATCACTCATAAGAATAATTGGCTTGAACTAACCAGGTGGTATAAAAGCCCGATTTAACAATCTGTCAAATGAAATTAAAGTTCTGTTCTTTTCAGTGGGATTGGTAAAAACTGCTAATCAATTATCCTTCTAGTTGAGTTATATTGAAGTGGAATAGTCACATGTAACAATTTGACTAAGTATGTCATTAATAAAGTGGTTTTGCAGAAAGAGACCATACTCCTTGTTAATGCTCTGTACTTTGCTATTTAGTATTGAACTGCATCTCTGGGGAATCTGTCCCCATGGACAAGATCATGCAGTCCTTCCCATTACTGAAATAGAAAGTATTGAAATATTATGTTTTATTTATATATGTGCACTTAAAAAAAGTTTTTCCACATCTATTTTTAATCTGCACTAGATTTCATAGCTATGGCATGAAAAGCAAAGAAGCATTAGGGTCACAAACTCATTCACACATAATTAATGTGCCCCCCTCCAAAAAAATCAGTTGTTATCCATGACTCTGGGTAATGGAAATCTTAGATTTTACAAGTAAACATATCTTACGCTTTTCCAATTCCAACAGTCTTCTTTGAGTTTAAATGTTTCTTCAATTGAAAGTTCCACTTCCTACCAGGGGTGGGTTAGATGGGGTCTTAGATAAACAGTATTTTGGAGTTTCCTTTTCCTCCTCAAAATGGTGATGGATATATGAGAATTTGTGTCATTGTAGTACTTGGGGAAGAAAGTGATAACTTATTGTAAATGTGTGTTATCTCTGTCCACTGAGGGTAGTTGTCTGGCCCCATACCTGGGAACAATGCAGGCATCAGCTATGAAGTCTGTAGTTGGTGCAACCTGCCATCTATTCTCTTAGATTTGGCTACATCCTGGCTCACTCCAGCACCGCCTTGTCCCTGGAGTACCGGCTGTGACTCCCATTCAATTCTCTACCTGAGCACTGCTGTTATACAAGGCCACTTCACATCTACAGTAGTGAGACGTATATAGCACCATCAGTTACTCTATTAGGGGAGGCTAAATGCTCTAGCAAACAATCCCAAAACCTCAGTGGCTTAACACACCAAAGATTTACTTCTCATCCATATCAACAATGGGTTTGCAGGAGACAGAGAGTGACAGAGCATGAGCGGGGACATTGAATATTTTTAAGGAGTTCAGTTTCCAGAATCTTTAGCCTGCATATATATTCTTTCTTAGAACTAACCTGCATGCGAACACCTATGAGATCATAGTGTCATGCTGGTTCTTCCTTTCTACTTCTCTTGAACAATGCACAAATGCTTATCACTACCTAAATAATAATAATAATAATAATAATAATAATAATAATAAAACAAAAACAAAAACATGGCTTTCACTCCAAATCTTGCTATGATGCTTTATCTTGGAGAAAACCCTCCATGGCACCAAACAAAGGGAAAAAAACTTAAAGTCAATGAAGCTTCTTTTAATAAAGGAATTATAAAACCAGTGTAGAGCCTCATGTCTTTCCCTGTGTTCATACATTTTTCTGTGAAGGATGAAGTGATGAGTGAGAAATTCCATGTTGCAATATTCTAAATTAATATGCATTATATAGTGGAACAACAGGAATGATAACTACTTTTGTTTAAGACTTTATCTCACCCAGCCCCTAACTATTGTCAAAGAAGATATTTCTGGAAAGAAATTCTGGTGAAAGCAAAGAGAATGTCGATATATATATATAAGAACCTGACATCTTACTTTACCCTGATGAAAAGCTTATGACAAAGATGTGTGCTTTCTCTGTATTAGATTTCTAAGTGAAGGTAAGGTAGAGATATATTTTTTTTTACTTTTAAATTTAAATCCAAGTTAGTTAGGGGCGACTGGGTGGCTCAGTCAGTTGAGTCTGACTTCAGCTCAGGTCATGATCTCATGGTTCATGAGTTCAAGCCCTGCGTCAGGCTCTGTGCTGACAGTGCAGAGCCTGGAGCCTGCTTCAGATTCTGTGTCTCCCTTCCTTTGCCCCTCCCCGCTCATATTCTGTCTCTCAAAGATGAATAAATGTTAAAAAACAAAAACACAAACAAAACAAAACAAAAAACATGCTCATTAAATTGAAAAATGGAATCAGATTTTTTCTGAATATGTATTTGTCTTATTTGGCTCAGGGATTTGACCATGAAGATTGGCCTCACCAATTAAGTTTTATGATGAATATTTTTCATTAACTAAATAATCTAATTTGCAACTCTAGTGTCATGATTAAATCACATATTAAGATAAAAACATTTTAATAGAAAAATAGTACTGACAAACCTATAATGATATTAACAGTATATCATTTTTCCTAACTTTACTTGGTATATCAGATGAAACAACAGTGCCTATGAATGAACAAACCCCCTTTAATTCCTATCTACTTATATGAAGTTTATACAAAGAAAGTTTTTATATTAGTCAAGATAAGTTATGGGATGCTATGGAAACAAGTAAACCCTCTAATGTTAATGGTTCAAAACAAAACTCAAAAATTAATTTTCTGGTCATAGAAAGTCTGCTATGGTTCCATGGATTCTCCAGGGAAGTTCACATCCAAGCAATAACTCAGAGATCCAGACTGCATATTCCTGCCTCTGGAACATGGGGCTTTTTCATGATAGGAAAAAGCAGTAGAACTGTTAAGTTTCTGGGTCCTTGAGCAATACATGGCACTTCCACTAATATATCACTGGCCATACTAGTCACATGGTCCCACCTAACTGCAAGAAAGTCTGACAGGTCTCCCAGTGTGCTCAAGAAGGAGAGGATAACCAACAACTATGAGTACCAATAATCTCTACGAGAGTTTCTCAGCATGTATAGCTAAAAAAATAACAACAACAACAACAACAACAACAACAACAACAATAATAGAATTCATGCTAAACCCTGAGTTATTCTAGCAATTTTAAATTAATAATAATTAATTTCACTGTGATATATCCATTTCATTAAGAGATATATTACCTATAATATTTAGTTTGATATAGGCTCATTATTAACTGTTGTAAATATTTATGTTGTTCTAACCAATTGTGTACTAATAAAAATTGACATGACAGCTCAATATAGAAGAAAATGTATAACACGTAGAGCCTATGTTCACATGGAAATTTTAAAAATAATTTTAATTTATATACATATTTTTTACTATAGGCCAATATGACATGGTGATGAGTAAAATATTTTTCAAGATTAAAAATATATTACATTAGGATAAAATTCTGTGGGTAGATTGGAATGGAAATATAAGACTAAGGAGAAAAACAAAACAATGTCTCTAACTGCCAAGAGCTCGTCTGTGTGTTTTTCTATTTTTAAATAGATTTTGATGGAATTCAAATCATTAAGGAATCTTCAGTCAAAGGAATTAGTGCTCCCCAGAGAAGTGGCTGATTCCAGGTCTGGGGCAGGAAAAATGCAAGATGAAAGTGGATTATCTTGTGGTCCCAGAAAGTAAAAAAATGCTCACAAAAAGATAAGGTCATGTCCAAAGGGCACAGGAACTAACCTGACAGAGTTCCCAATGGCTAACATTAGAACAATTTGAGTATAAAAATATTGATAGTATTTGATTGTAACTCAAAAAATAGAAGTCCATATTGATAAAAATAAACAACTGAATGAATAAATAAATTAAGGGGAAAACGATTCTTTTCTTCAGAAGAAATACAACTCATAAGTGTAGTAGGAATAAGAGAAACAAAAATCACCATTAGGCAAACACAACAGTAATAATTTATATAGGCAAGATCCACCAGTGGGTGCTAGAATTAGTGGGTGACCGTTTGCGGAGAAACAGGAATTTGCATAGCCTTAAAGTATTGCCCCCAAGATAGTCACTAATTATAATGGGAAAGTACTAACTTTACACTACAGAAACCGCTTTAATCAAGTGATCAAGGTTAACATAAGCAGTAATTAGCCATTTCAGCATCAAGTACTCCCTAATATGATGTCCTCAGAAGGGCACATGACTTCCTTGGTACCCTCTTCACTAATGCATAATCTTAATTTAATAATAAAAAACATCAGACAAATCCAAATTGAGGAACATTTTACAAAATAACTGACCACTTCCAAAGTGCCAGGTCATAAAAGTTAAAGGAAGACTGAGAAAATGTCACAGCTTGGAGGAAAATAAGGAGACATGACAACTAAGTGCACGGTGGAATGCTGGATTTGATCATGGAACAGAAAATGGACATCATGGAAATGTGAAATTACAATAA